TGCTGAAGTGCGTTTTTGGGTAAAATGAAGTATTTTTTATGTAAACAAATTTATCTTTTTTTATTAACGCGGGGAAAATATATTTTTGCTTTAACATCTGATATTAATATTTTTCAATATAGCATTCTGAATATAAAATTAATCAAATTTAATAATTAGAACAAATCTTCATCTTTTTGGGTGGTTTGCCTGAAATGAATGGACTGAATGGAGTAGCGAAAAAAGTAAAAAGTGCTTGAACAATTAGTCAGTCCTCTTAGTTTCTGGATAACTCAGAGATTAGAGTAGTCGCCCAGATTGGGAAAGGTCGTGGGTTCGAGTACCATCACAGAGCGTCCCCCAAAAAATAGGACTTTTAAGCATTCTTCATTACAAAAAAAACTATGTACAGACCGAGTATATTCCCGATCTACAAAAGTATATATAGGTTTTATTGTTAACTGCGTAGTTACGAGTAAGTAAGCAAGTCGCAGTGCTAACAGTGCGCATTATATAACATACATATTACAAGGATATGTTCATTGCTACAGTAAGTATAGTATAAAGATTTAACAGAATAATCTTTAAAGACTTTGAGAATATTTATCGTTACAGACGAAGAATTTGATTTTGTTATTATTCAAAACTTATTTAAACAAAGTTATTATTATTTCTTTATATTAAATTTTCCTTTTTTAAGGCTGTTTTTATTTTTAACAGACTTAAAAAAGGAAAAGCTTCGTAATTAGATTTTTTTTTTATTAAAATATTTTTTATATGAATTAACAACGAGTTGACCTTTACATGTTGCCATTGACACTGTATTTATCAATTATCTGGATACCCTACGTTTTAATTCTATAATTAATTACTAAATTAATAAGCAATGATGATTAGACATTTTTTTTTATTATAATCAACTATTTAACCTTCATTTGTGTTTATTTATATAAATTTAATTTTGTTCTTGAAATAGTGACCTATGACAATAGATAAAGTAAAGTTTCACAATTATTTATAATAAAAATAACCATATTACATTTCAACGGCGACTTTTGCGTAAAATGGTAAATTTTGGCGTTCTCGATCTCGGCAACATAAATATTAATAATTTTGACTTATTGAATAGTGCAGAATAACTTTTCGTCGTAATAGTTCGTAGCGTAATGGAAGTCGTATAGTACGCAGCGGCCTCGAAATTTTGAGATAACACTGATTAAATATAAAAATAAAAAATCGTTTTATAAACCAAGAAACTTCAAACATTGATTGAAATTAACTGTGAATTTCTCCTATTTACTATAATATTACTGAACAATATTTATACCAGAATAATGACTACTAAATAAAGAATAATTTTTAAGCATAAATTTATTTTCTTATTATATTATAATTTCACAGAGTGCATATTTGTGATAGGACTCTTAACTTTTTATAGACACGAGTTTACCTTACATAAACATGTACAATTTAGCATAATTTCTCTACATTTTTTAAAGTGTATTAAAGTCTAAACAAATAGATTAAGGTCAAGGCAAAGTATGGAAATATAAAGTTTAAAAAAAAATCGAAGAAGCAACGAGGTCTGTCAAGCAGGACGATAAGCAAGTGGTTATTAATTGTTTATGATTACCCCTGTTATAGAGACCAATTGAACGTCACAAGCGTGGTGGTGTAAGGTATCCAGTTCATAGATGAATGATTTTGATATATCTCCTATCAAATAAGATTGTTCTTTGCAAAGACCTTTTCGAAACATGTAGGAAGAGGGCAAAAATATTTAATTACATATTATTAAACTATTACTGATGAAAATCGCTGTATTAGCAATTTCGTCAGCGTAAATTACTAGGTTATATCAACCGCCTACTATGTACATTTCCGTAGGTGAAAGATTTTTTATGCTCGGACCGCCCACAAACAAACAAATTAAAAAATTTTGTCTTTATAATATTAGTATAAGTGTATTTCAAAGAAATCTTCTAAATCCACTCTAAGTTTCGAGACCTCTAGTCGCAGATTATATTTTGGTTCGATCATTGATTTTCAGTACCCGCACAATGGAGCTGGCACGATGCCAGGGTGTAGGGTTGCCTACCGCACATTCGGGACTGAACCTGGCAACGCGCCAACTAGTTCGAGACTTTATACTGTTGTTATTCTGTATTTTAACTTAAATATTGTACTGTAGATAAATTTACCAACATTTATTACAATAGGGTATTCTACTGTTGTTTTTTTTTAACTAGCTCATTCGACAACTGTGCAGCCAAAATTAAATAGTAAAAACGCACATTCTGGATTATTGCTAAGAAAAGTTATTACGTCGTATAGAAGCCCGTGCTTACTATTAAAATAACTTTAGAATTCTTTAAATTAAACGTTTTTAATTTCAGATTTTAATGTATTTTTAAGCGTGACAGATCCTCGGGTGCCTCCGTCGCCACTAGACTTCGATTTTTTTTAAATTATTGAAGTATAGGTATCGGAGATGTTCATGTTACCATATTAAATAAGGAAATATATTTTCGATGACCTGTTTTGGAGTACTCCTCAATAGAGGTCATTGAACGATACCACTAGACATAAAATCTCTTAAGATTTAGTCTGCCCTATTAAATTAAATATTTTCCTCAGCGGACGATACTCAACAAAGACAATCTTTCTTTCAAGTAAACGAAATCGATTCCAAAAGTCGTTAGCCTCTTTCCAACTCTGGCGGTACTTATGGAAAAACTCAATTTATGTTTGGGACACTCTTCAGAGGAAATTGACGGAAACGGCTTGGTAAACTCTCAAGTGAACGAATCAATCTATATTTATTTACATAACAGCACGGTAAATAATTCTGAACGTAAGTATTTATTTGTAATTTATGTCAATTTTAAATATATAACGATTATTAAAAAAAAATAAAAAATAAATAAAGCAATAGAGCCAGAGGGAAGGTTGATGAGATGAGGTTATACTAGTGTGACGGAATAAATACAAGCAAGTAGGGAAAATTACATTGGCTACCTACTCTTTTTTATTTCGCATCGTTGTATTATTTTTGTTGAAACCATATCCATGAATATTATCTGTGCATTAAAGGCAGTGTCCAATCCTACCACAGTTACATCATAAATTATCGACGATTGGGTTTCCTTGGAGTCATAACATTAGTGTTTGGAAATAGACGAAATAATATTTTCTGAGAAACATAGTAAGCCTAGAGATTATCTGACAGAAAATGAGCCGCATCTAATAGGAGCACAAATATTGTTGTTCAAAAGGAGGCTCTGAACGCCTAGTGTAATAGTTGAGAGAGTTTAGAAAACTAACCCGTACTTTCTTGAGATGTTTGATGGTACCGTCAGATATGTGCCAACTCTGAGACTCTAGAAGTATACTTATATAAATTCTGGATATTTTTGTTACTTAGTATTACGTATTGTAGTACTTCTGTTATGTTAGTAGTTGTATCGACTAATATGTAATATCACGATGCTAATAAACGGTAGAGTACGTGACTTTGTCGTCTTTTATGTCGAGGGCATGTTCAAATGCAAATGTAATAAAACCGGCGTAAACCTACTTCAAACTATACGTAAATTTAATAAAAACAAGAGCAAGTCGGACTCTCGTCCTGAGGATTCCGTACGGATATGAAATATTGATGTCTCATTATTAATAAGAATTTATGCATCGTGAAATTTTTTTTTTTCGAATTATAACGTTGGAAAGCAAACACGTCGTAACCCGCATAACCAAAATTGTTTTAAAGACCAGAATAACTTATATTACGTAAAAAAATTACTTCCGTTTTAATCGACTTTGGGTTGGGTTCATAAGATTTTTTTTCGATGAAATATAAAAAGATATTCCGCTCTTAAGTACAATTTTGGTTATGGGGGTTAGTAACTGATTGATTATGACAGCCTGGTGACAGACAGACAGACAGCAAAGTCAAGTAATAGGGTTCTTTTGGGTACAGAACCCTAAAAAATAGCACTATTGAACTTGAATGTAGTCGACAATATTAAGAGCAGAATACTGATGAATAAACGGATAGAATGTGTGAAAGATGATATGGTTTAGAAAGTACTGAAATTATAGATTACTATTGATAGACAAGAGAAGAAGAAGAATACATATTGCGCCTTCAGATGTAGGAATTGTAATCAAAGATTCATGATATACATCGAATTAATGTATTTCGATACAACCTGAGCTACTCCAGAAACAGCAGTCGCTCACAAAGGAAATATTAATCCACTTTTTTAATTAATAATATTCCACAGTTTATATAGGTATTATGAGATAAATTTCCAATGATTAAATTAACAATGATTAAAGATTAAAGACAAGGAAAAATGTTGATATTAGGTTCATTTACATGCGTTTTATAAAACAGTAATAAAATATAAGCTTTTAAAGGTTCATTTATGTTATCATTCCGTTCTGCAAATAAATCTTGAGGACAATATGATATTTATTATTAAATGTTAAGATTTCATCTTCCGTGTTTCAAAGCAAAAATCCATAGGAACACTCGATTATTCGTCTGTCAGTCTCCGTTCGTCGTGTCTTATTACCGATTTTGAGTCCACTCATGGGTGACAACCTTAAAAAAGAATATTGTATCGAAATCCGTTGCGCTTTAGAATGAGATGAAATCCGGGACGAGTTGAAAGGGGCAGAGGGCATCTTTAATTTAGTATTATAGTAGTAGATAGTAACACAAATCGAGGTTCAGACTATGTTGTTATCTACATTTTGGCGCTGTTGGAAGCGCACGTTATATCGTGAACTGGCAAAATATAAGCCGCACGGTACCAATCCCGTATTTCACAATCATTCTAATCTGAGGTTAGAGTTTTGGACACCAACCTGCGGCAGGACTGCCTCGAATTAATTTTGATTAAATCCAAAGGAAAATTAAGTATCACGTGATAAACCTGCAGATACACTTATCATTGGCTATTGTGTAACTGTGTGTACGTGTTTGTGAGCGTGTTATAAATTGTTCATTATTGTACCTGAGTTGAGCGCAGTAGAACTGATGAGGGATCGCGGTCAACACACCAGCGCCGTCGCCGGTGTCGTTGTCGCACGCGCACGCGCCGCGGTGCTCCATGCGCTTAGCGAGAGTTTCCGCATCGCGGACGATCTACGGACACATTTATATTGTTAAGTAGTATTATCTAAATATGCATTACGGCAGCGTAGTGGATAAACGCCGCGGCCCGCGACCGTTGTGGTTAAGCAACTTTCGCAAGGGTCGGTCACGGAATGGGTGACCGAAAAATTATTAACTCGAGCTACTCCGTGTTTCAGAAGGCACGTTAAGCCGTTGGTTCCGGCTGCATTTGCTGTCGTTAATACCCTCTAATACGCATAGGGTTAGCGTGGTGGGTGGACCATCCTTCTTAAATATCCGTAAGGAATAGCCCTGAGCCCCTGCGGTGGCAACGTAAGAGGGCTGATGATGATCGAAAGCTGTCAGCTTTCTCAGTCAATGAAATTGCAAATGGCCACAAAACAGAGGGATGGGTATCATCTGTGGTAGCGGAGACCAATTGCACGCTGTGCGGGTGATAAATTGCAGAAGAGCTACAAGTCTCTATCCCGATCGAAAGTGAGACGGAATATTTGAGAGAGGTTGTTAATTATAAGAACCTTTCAACATTGGCAGCCTAATGTCCCCTGGAACACAAGCCTTCCAAATGAATGGATTCCAATAGAAAGGAAGGGCCCATACCTGCTCAGTGCATCACAGCAGAGTCCAACGACTTAAACTTGTGTTCCTATAAACGGTCCTTACGAATGTTGCTTACCGTATCGCAGGGTAAACGTGTTAACCACTACACCATAAACCTTTAATAAGCTTTTAATCAACTTCAAAATCGAAAAGGAGGAGGCTATATGTTCGACGGCGACGTTCGCAGATATTTCCGTCAATTGTTGACCAATATTTAAAATTCTTATTTTTTTATTCGACAGCTTAATGGACCGAGGTGGTAGTTAATATTTCAAATAAGAAATATACAAGAAAATGAAATGATATTTCACCTGAGTGCAGAATAAAAGACGACAGTTGCTTTATTTTATGAATAGTAATGATGCAACAGAGTTGAACTGCAGCCAGGAGAATATTGGTGCAACGGCGAGAAGTCTCGGGGAAATATAGTGTTATGGGGAACGAAAACGTTAGCCGAATTCCAGCATATTAAACGAGCAAGGCGTGTAATCGCATCTTTTGACAAAACATTATAATATTTACGTTTTGGTATAACCGCGATAAAATCAGTACAACAGATTGATACTAGTCACGAGGGTAGGTACGCGGAAAAAGCCTGAAACTTACATATTTACAAGCTCTTTTATGAGGATCTGATTAAAAAACTATGTTTGCGTACAATGGATAACAAAATTAAAACTTTATAATAAAGTTAAGTCTCGAACTGTAATGAACCGTCATTTTAACAGGTTTTTCGTGTCTTATTTTAGTTTTTTAATGATCAGTTGATAAAACTAGGACATTTTGCCATGTGAAACATAAAAAACTTCAGTTATTGAAAATAACCAGTTGAGATTTTGTACTTTACACAATTCATAAACCGGCCGTTTTTAAAGTTGTAATGAATATGGTCGAAAGACGGTAATATTATATGTTCAAATCATAGATGAGTAAGATTTGTTAGTTGATATACTTACTTTATGAGTGCGTTTCCCGTCGATAGCAACAACAAAACCAACACCGCAGGCTTCGTGCTCGTTCTGAGGGTCGTACAAGCCTTGCTTGGGCGGCCCTTCCCACTCCATACCTGTAGACAAATAACAATATCCTAGTTAGGGTTCGCTTATTATTAGTTTGAGCATTGAGTTTTCAGTCTCATCTAGAAAATTAACCAACCCGATGTGACGCTAGCAACATCGGCCCGAAGTAGCAATGTTACTTACTAGAAATATCGAGTTTTCCCCTATACGTTACTGGAAATCATCGCTCGCATACTACTTTTTAATTATAATAAATAAACAAATTAAATAACTCAAACTCAATTATTATTTTACACTTTTGATTTAAAAGATCAAATATTAAATAAAGCTACTGGCTGCTCAAAAATTGCAGCATTTCATATGCATGATATATATCGGAGAAATATCAAATATCGGACATTTTGATATTTATTATAAATATTGTCAAAGTTTTGAGTCACTGAACCAAAAGGAAAATGAAATTAACGTATATCTTTCAAAATGCAACTTTAAATTTACGTTCAGCGGTTTGAAGTTTATATAGATAATCAATAACTTAATTTTTTAGATTTCGATTTTTTAGATCTCGAGCATTTTTATCAGTAAAGACCAGTTATGTTATGACATCGACTATTGAACATCGACAAGGTCAAGGCATGCGCATGCGCACACCAAATTGTATGACACTATATTTTTTCTCTTTATCTCTTCATTTACAATGTTTACTTTTAGGATTATTCTACACGCACAGCTGGCATGTTCACTGTGACCTATGTTATCAATGTAATGGGTGAACGTCCTTATTTCACTTCCAAACTATTTTTCATTCCATTCAGTAAGAGTAAAAGCTTAGTAATAGTTGATGCAACATGCTCTTAACCAGTACAGAAATTGATTTTGATTTTTTTGTGGACAGGTTATAGTATGATACAAATCTATCATAGTATAATACAGAACCACGCAAAGCTGAAAGTATACATATACATATATATTCTCTTATATATATTAGAGAATAGAACTAAAAAAGTACAGTTATAGGTCTATATTAGAATATGTAGGAAGTGGAAGGAGACGAGAAGTGCGAAATTGCGGATGCGTCGATTGACCGTTAATTCTCATATAGGGGATAACACGAGACGAAAATTTGAGACTTATTCAATAGGTACACCTAAATAGAAATACTTAATAATAATAAACGAGTTTGTTAAATCATATAAGCACTTTACTAGGGTTGGAGTGGGTACACTTCTGAGGGCCTACTCTTGTGTATCCATGAACGAAATTTTGGAAAACTTTGAAACGTTCTTATACTTTTGTAGTATTGATGTTTTGAAAATAGATGAAATATCGTTTTCGGAGCATACAGAGTAGGCCCTATCTCTTTTTTCTATCCCTGAACACTTATTATTCGCTAGCTTATCGGACTTAACGCCATTAGGTATTCTCTACATATTACTCAGATATTTGAGTAGCAAAGAACTTTAGAAATCAATGCTAAAATCAAATAAGAATCTATTTTCAGTATTATTTTTTTAACAGAGTTACTTTTAAAAAATCCGTTCAATCCATATTAGAATTATTATTTCCACTCTTGTTTCGTAGCCAATGTCTCATTGTTTATTTTTATTTATGTACAAAGCAACTGAAACATTATTAATTGAAACATTATTATTAACCTTGACCTATGTTGACGTTATCATAATAATGTTATCTGCTTTGATGGATTATGCAAAAATTGGTGCGCAAAATAATCGATGGAAAAATCCGTGATAAATTTGTAATACAATCTATTTAATGTCTACAAAAAAAATTGTGTTGCCGATAATAAACGATACAAGTATTTTTAAAGCAAACTCTGATAAATACATTGACCTGTTTGTATACATATAAATTAGAGACGAGACATAACAGTGCTTGACTTTTGACAAGAAATGATGTGATGTAGTCACTAGATTTGATCACAATAAAACTTTCCAAGATAAGATTAATGTTTATGTTATATTGTTAGCTTGTATAATTGTTATATTATAGTCCCTAAGATTTTTAGAATATAAAGTAAACAAGTTTATAATTAGTTTATTTGAGAGTAACTTTTTCTATTTTCTTAAAAGCAAATTCTGAGAAACTTATTGCAAAAATTGTATGCAGTTAATGACACCGGTGCTTTAAGTTCTCAAATATTATATTCTAAAAATTTTCCTGTATTATTAGCTTATCAGCTTACTGAATTGACTCTACGACTGTACTAGTTTTGGAGACATGTCAATAACCTTCAGTGAATCAACTGTACATCAACATAGTGTTGAACTATACTAAGCAAGGAAACTTATAGTCTTATTTGGTTAAAAAAATCCAAATACAGTATTTGGTTCTGTGCCTCCAGATGACGTTTGTGGTCAATGTTTTATGCATATCACATCAGCATCGCCTGGCAAGCTACAAGGTTATATGGGACTCTAATTGGAATACAACTAACAAAAACACTACTGTGTATCTCACTTGAAGGGAAACCTATTAGTTTATTGGGGGACACTTACTTCCCCTTCGGGACCCTACTAATGAAGACGTTATTTATTTGTTCAGCGGTCTATCCTTATGAACAACAGTGTTTTGTTCACAACAACTTATAGTGGATATAAATATGAACAAAAGAATGTTTTTCATTATGGATGGGAATGTGGTGATTTCCCAAGATACTAATAGTCAATAGAATATCATGTTACAACAAAATGTCAACATTCTTTACTGGAATTTGAAATTTATTATTAATATGCTAAGGTTTGAAAGTAACTACATAAGTATACTCAATCTACTGTTCGAACATGGAGTAAATATATTGAACTCTTGGAGTGAAATGTCTAGCCAAAGACTTGAAGAATGAAAAGCAATTCCTTGCAAAAGAATAGCTAACAGTATGGGTGAACAAGGTGGCCCATCAATGAAAAAATCCACTCATAGATTGCAAAACAAAGTACATTTGTAAGATAGGCGAAAGCCACATTTGTTTGGATCATTAAATTTTTCAATGGGCAAAAGCTAGAAAATCAAATCCCATAAAAATTTTGATTCAAGCAAAGACTGATAATTTTACAGTTGTGTATGTTATTACCTTACGTACCACAATGTCCGATTTGATATCTCTTATAATTTGGTAGAAATAAGGTGTTATCGAAGATTTAATGTAAATCTGTTGTTAAAAAACTGAGTTTAATTTAATGGAAAAAAAAATAAATAAAGATAGTACAATTAATATATTTTTTTATTATTATAATATTGTTTACAATATAAAAAGGCATTGGGAAACTGAACAAATAAAAACATACAAAGAAAGTACAAAAAATATGCAATTGAACATCTGGGTCTGAGGTCCCCACCAGGTCTGCTTTGATTCAACTTAGTGTGCTGAAGTATTTGTTGTAAATTTAATCCAGTGACAACAACATCAATCATCAAGTGCAGTGACAAAAAGAAAAAACACAGTGACATGGTAAACCAAGTGTAGATAGTCACAAAGTGCAATAATTGAAACACCATTGTTAATAATTGTTATCAGGATTGGGGTTTGTTACGAATATGAACATTCTTAATACATACAAGGAAAAACTAAATCTATAAGGGAACGCTCAATTCTGATTTGTATTGATCAGTTGTGTTTATGAGAATTTTAATCAATTTACGAAAACATGTTAATTGTAGTGAACAATTTATAAATACTACAGACTTAATTGAATTAGCCTTATAACTTTTTAGCACTAAGTTTTTTAATTTGATATGGTGTAACATTCTAAGCATGTATTAAATTTAGCAAAGAAATTATTGTCACTTAATTTTGATTATTATTTTCATTAATTTCTTTCATAATATTAAACAAATTTATTTTAATTTTACAAATTGTTATAAGTATAAATATTTGTAGGTACTATTAGAAGTCCTGTTTGTAATAAATTTATAAACAATACCTATATTTATGGGTATACCAGTACTTCTAACTTTTTACTTTTGAAAACATTTGTTTTCTAAAATTTACGTAAGGGTTTAATTTTAGAAATTGTGCATTACTTTAATATTAAGAAAGCTATTTAAAATATTAAAGGCAATTAATAGAAATTACAAGATATTTTATTGAGAAACAGACTCTGGGTTCGGTAGTTATGAAACTGAATGATGTAGTGGTTCTAGGAAATTTCTTGTAAGATGAATTCGTGCAAGTCTACGTATATAAAACATTTTGATATGCAGTTCCACGTGCCTGCATTGAATGAAGTACGTGGACAGTATCGAAAAGCTATAACGATTTCAGTGAATTTTAACAAAAAAAGAAGTAGTTACCTCAGAATAAGTTCGATATATTCACAAAGTTCTCTTACTTTAATAACTACTTGTAAAGTATACACTTTCACAGGCAGGTTGACAATCAGTTCTCTGAAATAATTATAAAATGGTGCACAATAACCGGTAATAACCGTAGCAACTGCTTCTTGAAGAAGACAACTACTCGAACCGGCAAAGCGCGATTGACTAAACGAAATAGAAAAATGATTGAATGAGATTGTTCGATTGCAAAAGTGACATTGACAACCCAATTGAACGAAGTTAGTTTATAAAAAAAGTAAAGGAACATGTTCCATACAGCCATATCGCACATACATATCGTCTTAGAAAATCGTGCACGCTTTATATTACTCGTATTTTATTAATTGAACAATGTATTTATTAAAATAATATTAATAATAATAATTAATGTATTTATTCTGTAAAATTCACGAACCGGTTATGTACTTTATTTAATCTAATGGACGTTATGTATAGTAACATCTATTCAAAAACTTAAAATATATATTAAAATATTGAATACATATGAATAATGTGTTTAAATTGGTTTTAGGAAAAGATAAATATAGTATTTCTTTAGAAAGGTTGTATGAGCTAGATTCCCATGCCTTTAATTTAATAACAACACCCGCGCGCTCAATGTTGCCAGGATATAAGTGATTCCCCTAAATTTGGAGGATTTTCGTAGCTGTAGAGAATAATTATGGGATCTTTGGGTTATTTGACAAAGGCTAATAATCAGAATTTGGATCTTTATATCTCAATACTTAATAATTTACTGTCATCTGAAATTGTAATGAAAATGATAAATTTATCATAATAACCAGACATAATAGCTAAGTCTAATTATTGTAAATAATCACATCATAATTTTATGATTTGAGAGTAGAAAAACGAATGCGTCTGAAATTCACAGAACTTCAATCACAGAAATTCATCAGATAATTTAAATATAAGGGATTGACTGTCATAATTATTGTTAATTAATTTTTGTTGCGACATCTAAATAAATATTACGTTTACTTCTTTTTTCTAAGTTTTTTTATTGTTGCAACTTATGATTTAAATACAAATGGCAAACCTACAAGAAGAATGATAATGAATGAAGCTGAAAAGTGTACCATTCATAAACAAATATATTCGGTGAATTTCACAAGAGATAATAAATTTTTGTCTGTACTAAAAACTTTTACCTTTTTTAAAATATCATTACCAGTTACTATGACAGAGTAAGTATTTTTACTAAATTTATGGGTCTGTTCACTTTTTAGAAAAATAATATATACTCCTAAACATAATCTCTGTTTAGTTGGTAGAAATCTCTTATAAAGATAAACCATCTTTATTTTTGAATCTATCTATTGTTAAGTATGAATATTTTTGTTTAATAAAGAGCATAATACATTATTCGATACTCAATAATATACTCATGCTTAATGTCAAGATGTGTATATTACATTGAAAAGATAGTACCAGTATAAGCGTGTGAACATATGACTTTAGTGTACTTATTTACGTAAGTGTGACGATGGACTGAATCTGCTTGTACTAAAAATACTTATAAATATATTCTTAATGAAAAATGCTTGAAAAATCCACTTTGGGACAAAGTGGCACTTTGGATGGGCTCCAATTCTATATTCAATATATAGCAATGTGAATGCAAAATTTATCAAATATAATACTTAATAAAAGCACAACATATTTGTCTAAATTATTTTTGAGGGAATTTTCCAGAATTCTTGTTTTAAGGGGTAATTCTCAAAGACATCTGGCAAATCTGGCATGACCGCAAAGCGCGCGCGTTTTCGTTGTATACGCCAGTTGAATTTTTTAGCGCGAAAGTTGAAGACGTGAATTGTTCTTTTGTAGATTGGATTTTGCGGTATAGTTAAAATAATTTTTGGTGAACACTATAGCATGAAAGTAGTAAAAAACTTATCAAATAAGAAAATAATATCTGTTCAGCTATTTAAAAGTCTTGGGTGCAATTAAAAATATTTTAGATTAAATATTATTTATTTTGTCTTTAAAAACTTCTGTAAGTGCGGTATAAGACTCGAATATTCGGGAAAAACGTTTTCATTTTTGTAATTATCTTCTATTTATATCTAAAATGAGTTTAAGTCGTTTGAGGAATATTGTGAAGTGTGATGTGGTGAAAGCATCTGCATCTAGCGCGTTGGTGTCGAAACTTTTAGGACCTTGTAGTGAGATAGTGAGTACATGCACCATTCAACGAAGGAATGTCACACAGCAAAATTCGAAGCCAGACTGGAACAGAGCAGTGAGCGAAGCCGAGAAGATTGTGGGCTATCCCACATCATTTTTAAGCCTCCGATGGGTTTTAAGTGATGAAATTGCCAACGTTGCACTTCATCTCCGCAAATTAGTTGGGAGCAACCATCCTTTGCTGAAAACTGCCAAGTAAAAATCACATTTTGTTTTTACTTTATCGCTTGTTATAGGGTAATACTACTAATTTTATAACCACGCAATCAATATCTCGCATTTGCGTAGAATTTACCATGCATAATATCGTTAATGCGACTGTTAGTTCAGTTCATTAGTCTTAATTACTTAATTACTGAATACATACAATTATAGTAAATAGTAGTTTTGTAATTTAGATATTATATTTATTAATAATTTTAGGTAATTCATGTTTTTCCTGTGCTTTTTTTTGATAAGCTAACACTTGGTAAAGGAACTTTAAGATAAATTTATATTTTATACAGTTATCTTTACTAAACTTTAAAATTATTATTCTTCAGAAACCTCATTTATAATGGCAAGAATAATATGCAAGCATGGGGCCTTATTGTCCTGCTTGTATCTAAAGCGGCCGGTCACAGCCCTGAAATACCTGATATGGAACAAGACAAAGCAGCTGGTGTATTGTATAGGTATGTTTATTTATATTTGAAACAAAATTAATTTTAAATATGTTAAACTGCTTAACAATTGAATTATTCTTTTTTTAAAAATATTAAAATTATTGTTGTTATATTAATATAAATATAGGAAAAAATCGCATAAATTACTCAGGGCCCAACTTTACTAACTAAAATACATGTGTTATGTAAATCTGATTTACTGAAGGTTTCCTAGACCTGAGACAGTATAGAAAAGTTAATTTTCTACATGAGCTGCTAATAAAGATTTATAAACAGTGTAAGTTACTGATGTTACGGCTACTGATGTTTTTGATTGTTGATTTTAGGTTAAAACTGGGTAGCAAAAGTTTTCTCTTTACCAATATTCAATAATAATGTAACCTATTTTCAGAATGTGTTATGTTTATAATAATATGTGTGATGATTTGGATATTCTTTCACTCTCATATTGTTCCTATACAATAATATACAGATCTAAATTATGATGTATTTATTTTGATTACATTTGTTTCTGATTTTTTTTTCAAAACAGTCAATTATTTAATTTGATTTTCTATTATCATTTAGTTTATTTTTTACTTTAATAATTATTCATTGTCCTATTTATTATTTGATATGTGTTGAGTACAACAGTGATAGGAAGGCAAATTAGCATGGAATTAAATTATAATATGGGTTGATCTTAATTTGTCCAAAACTTCTTAAAATTATATTAAAGCTGTCATAAAATATGAAGGCATGATTAAATAATTGTTGACGTCGTCGTTTAGCCAACGGGCGCTCGCCGAAGTGACAGAGATGATACGTACCTCGCATCTGGTCCACAAGGGCCTGGTGAACATGAACTCGCGGCAGCTGACCGCGGCCGAGCCGGGCGATATGATGTTCGGCAACAAGATAGCCCTGCTGAGCGGCGATTACTTGTTGGCGAATTCTTGCACTGAGCTAGCCAACTTGAGGTAAGCATTTGTTCGAGTTATATTTTACTAGCTTTCCGCCCGCGGCTTTACCCACGTAGAATTTGGTCATCGTAGCCCTTCGTATAATTTTTTAAAGACTATTTTTCCACTCTATCTGTGTACAAAATTACATTGAAATTGATTCAGTAGTTTATTTAAAAATATCTGAAAATAACTTCAAAATTGATTCTTAAAAATTACAAAGGGCGGTTAACAATTTCAAGAAACCAAACGCTGGCTAATACTCATCTCAATTAGATTGATATTTCTTTATTTTGTTAAGAGGGCGCTCACGCTCAAAATCATTAACTTTCAACTGGTTTTGAACAAAAAATAACGTCCAAATAAAATGAAAAACAGTATCATACTTTTAGGGATCTGTTACAGCTAAAATATTAATCATAAAAATTTCTTTGTAGAAAAAAAAACGGTTATCCTGTATATAACCATGTGTTTTTCATTGTGTAATTCATGTATTTATTTTTAACAGTACAATTGATAAATATCTGAGTCACCTTGTAAGCCAAGCTTGCTGTGTAGCACTTTTACTATAATTTTAATAACTCCCACGAAATGGCCATTTGGCTACACTAGCCACGGGATACAACGTAGTAGCGATGTTATGGCGATATTTCGCTTCATTTTACTACCTTGACATGATCTTTACTAACGACGAACGAATGGTAAACCATGAGGGTTATGAATTTGATAGTAGCGTGAGCAACTTAAGGCATTTAATCCACTACTAAAAGACCACTAAGAGAGTTTGGGAGAGAAAGAGAAGAAAGAAGTAAAGAGCTGGCTGTCGCACTCCAGTAGTGCAATACCTTTCAAGACCGCTGGGAAGTGTTGGATGTAGTGTTGTGTAACTCACACGTTTTTATTGAGAATGAGTGAGGACCTCGTTTTACCTCATGAGGTACTCACGAGGTCTCCCTCATTTGAGCTGAGGTTAAGAGAATGAGTAATATTGAAAATTTTTAATTGTATTTACTTATTTTTGTAAAAATATTTTTATACGCAGAATGAATGCCCTTTGGTTACTAATTTATTTCTCCACTCAATAATTATTTTTTCATTGTTATTTTTAATGACATTACAATTTTTTTTTTATTTTACCCACTTCGCCTCATTTTACTTTAGCCGATTAATGTGATTCATATAATATAACGTTAAATAGTCACTACTCGCTAGGAAGAGCTAAACTAAACTAAACTAAACCGAGGCCTTCTATCAAACTTATACAACCGAACTACTCCCTCGATTAATCGTTAATTATGTGCCGACTCAACATTTCATTCTAAGCAACTCACTACTTTTCTACTGAGTGCCTCGTGTTATTTATATTTGCACCGCGTGCTCGTCTCAAAAACTGTGGAGCTAAATGAGGTGGTTCAAAGTTGAAAAACGAATACTCATTTTCATTCTCATTTTCTTGAAAAGAAGACCTCAAATGAGGTACCTCACGAGTGAGAGACTCATTACTAGTTGGGTGAGGAGCGCGAGATACCGATCGTCTTAGAGAAATTTGGGGCCAACCTGTAGGCGTTATTCGACTGAGATGAAGATGAATGTAAAGCCTTATTTGCCGAGCAATTCACCATAGTGAAAGAAGACATCACTATTACTGTCCTTAACTATCTCATACCGGGAACAATGACGCCGTTTGTAGTTCTTAATAATTATTTTTTTGAATTCGGTTTTAGTTTTTATTTATACTTTATCTTAAACGTTGTAAATAGTTTCTGTTTAAGTTGAATCCAGGGCTGGCTAACGTTACAAAGTTCGTAATTCATTCTAATATCGTTTAGATCTAAACTGCGTTTTGCACAATATCCACCACAATCGTTACCTAATAACAAATGAATGTTGTGCGTAAAATTGTGTTAGATGAAGGTAATTGCACCTTGCGGCCTTGACATGACGATGCTTGATGGATATTTAATATTTTTCATGTGAAATTTTATCAGAATAATATTCCAAAGGTCGGATTTGTATGGTCAGAAAATGTGAGATCAGTACGTAATATTTTGTGACACGCCTGTTTCGTGAGATATGTCCGAGGCACTGTACCAAGCCCATAAATTTGAACTCAAGTGTCGGGTGACTGGCGACAAGTGACCTTTACAAAGAATAAAAACAAATAAAATGTAAGACCCAGCTTCTAAGGTGATACGCGATTATCTTTATATACGTCCCGTCCCGGATTTGATTCCCGGCTAAATAAATATAGAATATTGCCGCCTACGTTATTTGCAATTTACTTACCTTTATTCAAACTACAAAAATGACAAAAAGTTCCTTTATGATATTAAGTGTTGATTCGTTCCATTACTTGCACTGATTAAAAGCTACATTATCAACGAGTAAGGCTTTATTTTACTTTATTAATTATAAGTTGGTATTAAGTTCGAGGGTCATCTAGTTAAGAATAAATTGTGATGCGAAAGCAAGTGATTCTGTCGCGGAAATTGCGAAAATTTCTTCCTGTTCCTTCATTCAGCCTCGCTTGTTGTGACGACACACAATTAATATGATATACAAAATACACCGTTGAAGGTACCTCGTGACCGAATAAGCGCTGGTTTCAAGGTGTTGCCCTTTCCGCGGGTCCGGGTTCGAATCCCGCTCGTAGATATTTTTGTATTATCTCTTGTCTGGATGTTTTGGTAGCATAGCTGTTTCAGATTTCTATGATACAAGGGTTTAAGTTACTTATATCAAAACATGAATAATGCGCTGCGAAAGAGTCACCGTAGTAGTGACAGATTTTCAAAATATGTATAAAATACGTTGTATATCAGGAGTAGCTAGATGGCGTAGTAGATAAGCACCGAGGCCCGCGATCGTTATTGTTAAGCAACTTTCGTAAGGGTGGTCACTGGATGGATGACCAAAAAAAATCTATTTCGAAATCGTTAATACCCTCCAATTCGCATTGGATCAGCGCGGAGGGTCATAGCCGAATAAGGAAAGCCTGGGCCCCTGAAGTGGCGACGTTATAGGGCTGATAATGATCAAGCACATCAGTTTAAATTAATTTTTATTGCATAAATACAAATAAATGTACAAATAGCATATTAATGTCATAGTTATAGAAATAATTGATAAATCCAATGTACAGTAAACGTCAGCTTCTACACAACATTTCATTTTAATACCCATTTTAAGCTTTAATGCGTTAAAATTAGAGGTCACAATCACCTGCTGTCTGTTCCTATAGGTTTTTTAATTTATTAATAATAGATTAGCAACAATTGTTTATCATTATCAATTCAGCAGCAAAAATGTAACTTTACTAATAGTCTGATTCATTTGCTAACGTAACATTAACCTCCAGTAGGTTTAAAACTGGTTTTGATCGTCAATATTGGGTAATATCACCATTGCATAAGATGCATAGTCGTGTAATCTGACCTGATGAGAGTGAAAGCATGTTTCCATAAATATGTGAATTGGTTATATAAATTTTCATGTTGTCAACTAGTTGTTCCAGTTATTGTATAAGTCCTTGAATCTTTCGAAAAACAAATTTAAGGGCCCTATCCATACTAATATTATAAATGCGAAAGTAACTCTGTATGCCTGTTACTTAATCACGGCTAAACCACTGAACCAATTTGCATGAAATTTGGTATGGAGATATTTTAATACCCAAGAAAGGACATAGGCTACTTTTTACCGCGGGAAAATGACGCATTCCCACGGGAAAATAATCTAAATATATATATAACTCAAAGGTTGACATAGTGATCTATCAACGCACAGCCCAAACCACTGGACGGATCGGGCTGAAATTTGGCATACAGGTAGATGTTATGACGTAGGCATCCGCCAAGAAAGGATTTTGATCAATTCTATCCCCAAGGGGATAAAATTTTGTATAAAACTTTGTCAATTTTAAACTGATCGGGCTGAGATTTTGTATAAATAAGGCTACTTTGAGGTAGCTGCGGCGTTTTTTCACGCCCGAACAACTGTGCCCGCTATACAAAACGGAGGTCCGGTCATGTGTGGAGTATTGCACCTTTGGGATGGCTCCGGTACCTAGACTCGATGCTTTGGATAGATTGCAGCGCCGCGCAGTACGCATTATTGGCAATGGTGAAGTCACCAAGAACCTAGAAAGCCTGCAACTGCGCCGAGACGTTGCTTCGCTCAGCGTCTTCTACCGTCTCTACCATGGTGAATGTTCTGAAGAACTCTTTTCCCTTATCCCCCCATCTCCCTTCCTCCTCAGGACCACACGTGCTGGTTTGCGTTGCCACCAACTAACTGTGGCAACGATTCCTTCGCGTACAAAGAAATTTGGCGACTCATTTCTTTGTCGTGCTTCAAAAAAATGGAATTGTCTCCCGGCCCATGTATTCCCTCCTTCCTATGACATAGGGTCCTTCAAGCGGGGCGTGAAGAAGCACCTTGCAGGTCGGCACGGTGAGGTTGGCTAGTGCAGTACCTACGTACTGTTTTCACTAGCTGTCCTCGCGTTTGGACTACGCCTCCGCTTACCATCAGGTGGAGCGCAGTCATTTGCCCTCCATTTTATATATATAAAAAAAGGCATTCTCTAAAAAAGGATTTTGATTGATTCCACCCCCAAGGGGATAAAATAGGGGATGAAAGTTTGTATGAAACTTTGGCAATTTTAAGGGTTGAGACTTTGCATGCGTAAAGCTACTATGACGTAAGCATCCCCTAAGAAGGGATTTTGATAAATTCCACCCCTAAGGGCATAAGCTAAGAGGATTAGACTTTTTTTCAGGTATTTTACACGATATAATGAATAAATATTCGTTAGAAATGCTGCTCAAAGTAACTTTACCACGCGGACGAAGTCGCGGGCAAAAGCTAGTTACAAATATAAATAAACTCGTTCTGCGGTCGTGCAATCATCACCAGCCCTTTTACGTCCCCACTGCAGGGGCTCAGGCCTTCCTTATGGATGGTTAAGGAGGATGGGCCATGACCCCCCACGCTGGCCCAATGCGGATTGGAGGGTATTAACGACTGCAAATGCAGCCGGGACCAACGGCTTAACGTGCCTTCCGAAGCACGGAGTAACTCGAGATAATAATTTTTTGGTCACCCATCCCGTGACCGACCCTTGCGAAAGTTGCTTAACGACTACGATCGCGGGCCGCGGCGCTTATCCACTACGCCACCGAGCTACTCGGTCGTGCAAATGAGGAAGTATTTAAAAAATACATTAGTTCCTGAAATCAAACTAGATGTCGCTACGGTACCTTCTTAATTTCTCCATGACAACCCTTACGGTTTTCTTTCATATTTAAAAGTAAATTAGTTTTCAAAACTCAATAATAAAAACTCAATAAACAACTCATATTCTATTTGTACTTTTTCGTATTTGTATTGATATCTAAGTTACGAACTTAGAAAAAACAGTTTTTTAATATGTTAGTTAAAAGGAATGGAAATAACTGTCTTTGGTCCATTCGTTTCCTGCAAAAATCAACTTTTACTAGAGTCGCCATCAAGTGGAGGTACTTTTTTAGTGCTTTCGTTTTTTTTAAATACTTCCTCATTGAGCTCGGATGGCTGGTGCATCGCGTTTTGTAGTTATATTTATAGTTTTTATTGATTTAGTATAATAAATTTATGCTAACAAATTATGAAATCGTTATTTCTTATGAAGTAATAATCATTTTGGTACAAATTTTGTTGAATAATGTTATCAGAGTACCTACCATAGAAAAGAGAAATTCACAGTTGACTTGCAGGTACTTTCGAAGTTTTTTGGATAATATATAAGGTTTTTTTCTCTATCTATATTTAATCAATAATATTTCGAAATTTCGAAGCCGCTACGAACTGTACGACTATATAAGAGTAATCATACTATTTATTATTTAATTTGTTTAGACCAAACTTAAAAAGTAAAGTACAATCTACAAAAAGCGAAGCCTCTACTAACTACGAATAGTTATTCTGCACTATTCAATAAATAAAATTAGTAATATATTTTAGATACCTAGATCAAAAACTCCGAAATTGACCATTTCGTACGTGTAATAGGGCCCTTAACATCTTATAAATAATCTTACTTCTTATAAATAATGTATTAACCTTTACTTTTATAATCTGTCTGATTAGACTATTAACTATTGTAATACATAATTAAAAACCATACAATTTATGTTTTCACGCCAAAACTAAAACTAAACAAAAGTTCAAGTATGTACAATAGTTTTTATCACAAATTTGTATTAATCTCACAAGAAACTGCACTAGGTCCATAAACGTTAGAATTTGTTGTTCGTGGCTTGCGTTGCATTTTTATGTTTTTGTAATAAAACTAAAAAAAAACGAATTTCTTCATTACATTCGCTCATTTTGACAGTAAGAAAAACAAATGAAAATCACACATTTTCCTAATTTGAATTCGGAGTTATCTTCTTTAAAATTCAAACGATTTTATGATACCGAATCCAGCCAGATATAAATAGTACAGCCAGAAAGGTTTTATTATAAGTTTATGCATGCTATATGCGAAAAGACTTTTTCCCCAACCTAATATATATTAACACTACAAAGTTTATGTGATTACTAAGGACGAATACTGTGAACAAAACAGTTCTCCAAACCACCACGTGACATGAAATCTAGGACTTAGAAAGCGTATCGCACCTACGGCACTGTACTTAAAGATTTCGTAATTTCTTATACAAGTGCATTCAAGTACACACATCGGCACATCAGGTTACTACAAATTGTTTTTGTATAAGCAATTTTGGACTTAACTTCGACAGGTTAAGGCTTAAAATAGATTTGACAAATTTCTTCTGTACTTGTAGGTATGTTTATATTATTTCTTCTAAAGTACTCACATCAGCATGTTAGGCTTCAAATTTCTACAAATGATTTTGAACGCTACCTTTAACATATTAAAGTTTAAAATCTAATGGAGATATTGACAGTTTTCAGTCATTCTGATGGACCCTTGACTTTGACAAATAAAAAAATGTTTAATGAAAATTAATCACTTGTTTAAAATCTTATTTTATAATAAATAATAATTATTAGATAACATCACAAACATTGCTCAAATTCCAAAATGAGTAGTTAAAACCGCCGTGGTATAAGGTATCTGAGGCAACGGAAGCACATACCAATTGAAATAGTATAAAAAAAGTTCATTTTTATATTGACCCGACCCGGAATCGAACCCGGGACCTCGGAGATGGCGACGTACAAGCCACTCGGTTTCGGAGGTTGGTCTGTCGTCAATAATTTTGGCCAGCCAAGAAATATTTGGGTATTTGGTATGCATTGAGTTTGGATTGTCCACAGGAACCAAGAGCTGGTGGAGCTGATGTCTTCAGCGGTCAGAGATCTTGCTGAAGCCGAGTTCCTAGGGGAAAGAGATGAACAAAATAATCCTCTTCCATCTCGGCCAGTTCCCGAAGCTAATTGGGAGCCAGCATCAGGTAATCTAATACAATTACCTATAATAGTGATAATGTTAAAATAAAAAAAATTGAATAGGTCTTTTTTCATTTAAGTTTTCAATGTGTTACTGTGTCTTTCAAGCTCTGCATATCAGCTCTTGCATTTTTTAAAGCATAATATAACGGCATAGTTTTGTTTATTCTAATTATATTTACTCATAATGGTATAAGCAATATTAAAGCAAAATATACTAAAAACATATTTGAAAAACCTTTTGCACTCGCCAGCCGCAGCATGCACTGTTTTTATTTGGTCTCTTTCATATTTACTTACTTATGGTAAGCGAAAACCAATTATGCTAAAAATATCCTAATAGAATTGTTATGCCAAAGTGTATTGGGGATAAAAATAAGGATACCTTAAAGACGGTTTGTAAATATGTATTTCTTTACATGACCTATTGTTGCCATAATATAAAAAGAAAAAAAAAACGAAACATAGCTCGGTGTAGCTCGGTGGCGTAGTGGATAAGCGCCGCGGCCCGCGATCGTAGTCGTTAAGCAACTTTCGTAAGGGTCGGTCACGGGATGGGTGACCAAAAAATTATTATCTCGAGCTACTCCGTGCTTCGGAAGGCATGTTAAGCCGTTGGTCCCGGCTGCATTTTGCAGTCGTTAATACCCTCCAATCCGCATTGGGCCAGCGTGGAGGGTCATGGCCCATCCTCCTTAACCATCCATAAGGAAGGCCTGAGTCCCTGCAGTGGGGACGTAAAAAAGGCTGGTGATTGAACGAAACATATAAACTTTTACCAAAAAGGAATAATATTGGTTGATAGAAATATAATTAATAAATGAAAATGAAAGTCATAATTTTATAAACTTTAATTGTGTGAAGGCAATCTTATATCTAAAAGCGTTATACGTTTCGGGCATTTTCCCGTTAAAGTTTTCATAAATCCAAATCGACATTTGTCTGCTATCATATAAGTATATATACCCATTACAAAGAATATATAACTATTCCACGAAATACAAGAATGCATAAAGTCTGCTCTATTTGATTTAAAAGATTTTCGGGCAATATCAACTCCACTACATAATTTTTCTTAACTTAGCGCTCCCAATGAATGTCACAAAGAAATCCTATTAATATTATAAATGTGAAAGTTTGTTTGGATGTTTGTCCATCAATCACGCCGAAACAACTAAATTTGGAGGAAATTCGGTATAATAGGATACTTTTTCACTACACAATTCCCTAGGGTCCACACGGGCGAAGCCGCTGGCGAAAGCTAGTTAATGAATATTTTGATATTCTTTTAATACCTATCGAGGACGGTAAGCTTCGAAACTCTTTTGTCGAGCAAACGAGCGCAAGTAAACGGAACAGCTCCGTGTTTGTGTTTAGTAATCGAAACATACGTGAGATGGGTTTGCATAAAGGTTAACGAGCGAATCATCACATCCGCTATTTGCGTTGTCCAATAGGAATACGTTATTACTATACTTCTTTATCTGTTTGTAGACAATTTACATATATGGAAATTGAATTTTTTAATTGTCAGCAAGAGAAACTATGTTGCGGCGCCGTTTTAATGTCAATTGAAGAATCAATGTTAGTGATGGTTTATTGCAGTATATGAAAGTTCTTTGATCGTTTTTAATCTTAAAATCGAAAATAATTTAGCGTTTAAAATTTTATTGTATATGCGAGAGGTTTAAGTGAGGTGTGCCACAAGTTTTTGTAACACATATCGTAGGTCTGGTTATGTGAACAACTTTCGAAGTATTGTTTTTTTTATTATACTGTAACTTATTTGAGAGTGGTTCACAGTTTTAATTAAATTTTGGGCTTATTTTAAGGTTATTTTGTTGTCACATAAAATATAACAAAAATTATACTCATATTAGCTATAACTATTTCTTAAATCTTATTCAAGTTAAAGAATAGAAAAAAATCAATACTTTGTAAAATAGTTCATAAAAGAACTTCAAAGTTTTACATAATCAAAATATAAATAATAAGCACAAGAATTTTCCAAATTAATTTTTATCAGCATTTGTATTTTTCACTTGGAATTACGTACGACGTCAACCAATCGAAGCTTTTTTAAACAGTAATACCTAGGTTAAACTTTAGGTAAATGAGATTTAAGTGCAAAAATAAACATTTCATAATGAACAAGAACAAAACGCACAATAGTAAATATTTCAATAGCTAAAATATAAAAAATGTGGTCTAGACATTTATTAATTAGTTTATATACCGTGGTACTCGGTGTAAATTGCGAAAAGTGCGCTCCAAACTTATTAAATGCTAAAGTTCATGGATTCACCTTGCGTATGAGATAACTATGGGTGTACAATTTTACTTTCAACTATTTTTAAGTACTGCACAATGTATTTATTTTTAATAATATAAATTATATGAATATAACTCATATTTTACCAGTATGTAGAATTTTCCTTCTATTTACATTTTTTATTTTCTCACTAAAGAAACTAAAATATTATCAAATTAAAGTTATTCAGAAATAAATGCATTTTATGTACCATGTTCGCCCGTTCTTTAAATTTACGGTGCAGTGTACTCAAACATCAGCCAATTTTCGTTTATGTTCTTGAAAGACTTCAAAATTATTTATTTTAAGATATAAGAAATATATACTTGAGATGCTCATATCATGTGTATACACCATTTTTTATTATTTTTACCTTACTCACCAAGAGAGGCTGCCGCCGCTATTTTTCAAATTCATTTATTTACGTTCTACTGCCGTCTGAAATTTGCCACGTAGTGTGGCCGTCTGAGTCACCGACTTACTTGCAACTCTGACTAGTAGTTTCAGATAAAATCTTTTGTGACAGACTCACAGAGAGATAAAACAGTGATTCAGTAAGATTTCCTGTTTTGGTATGTAACCCTAAAAAAAACAAAGAACTAGTTTTTTAAATCTATACTATTCGTATATGGGGAATTCCATTAATATTATAAAATCCTGCGTATTCAAGGTCTTGATCCTGAATTGAAACCAACAAACATTCCATAGTCCGCACTATCGATATTAATATGCACCATTGCTTCGGCCTTAAGGAACCGCCCTGAATGTTAACTACGTGATGCGCGTGCGCAATTTTGCATTAGTACTTGCTCTATAACCGGAATTTTACAACACCTTGTTGCGTCTTCATACGGTCTACATTTGATGTAATTTCTCTAAGAATCTCCAGACTGTGCAAAGGATCTTACGATATTTTTATGATAACTAGTTTATTTATTGTGCTATGTATGATTTACTTTATCTGTTTGACATTGACTTTCACACACATGTGGAAAAGCAACTCTCATTAAAGCTTTTTTATATTCATTTTTATAATAATTCGTTAAATCGGCTACTAACTCAGATTAAAGAAGAAGAAGCTCTAAATCAAATGTTAGTTACCTTCTGTTCATACATCATGCTGCCTTTAACCTTTTACCTTTACACGTACTACTCACACGAATGACATGCCAACAAAAAGGCCTATTCCATTGCTCCGAAACTAAAATTTCGAAATGCCGTTTATGATGCAAAAGATGTATATCTGACGCTGTCTCTATACATAGATTAATCTTCACGGTCATAATTTTAATATGATTTTATTAAAATTATATGAACAATTCGATATTTCCTTCGTTCGAGGACAAATAGAATTGTCCCTCCGCGTATGTTCATACGTATGAGTTATATAAATTTTGTCTGATTTCTTGAGATTCTCGGAAACTAGCAGAAAAATACCATGACAACGGTGTGTTAGCCTAGCCTTTAGCATTTAACGATATATGGTGTATGAGAAAACCACTACGTATCAAAATATAATAAAAAACTAATTGTAATAATAACTGTACTACCTAACATGTAAAAAAACCTCTACTTTTGACATTTTTCTACGACAGCACACTGAATGTATTATTACACTTACTTGTATATGATGGTGATAGTTTTGTGAGATTCAGACTCTGATATGTCCCGGAATAAATGAAACCCTTTATCAATCTCATTGTAATTCTCTTTAGAGTGGGACTGCATCTTGGACCCGTTGCCGATGAGTGGGGTGGAGGGATGTCTGCAGCGCGAGTGGGTGGCGCGTCATGTGCTCGCGGCGGGAGCTCTTCTAGGCAAGAGTTGCTCCGCCGCCTTGAAGCTAGCAGGACACAACTCTGAATTGCAGACGCAGGTATGTAACGATCTGTATTGGCAGAGCATCTTTTTTAACCGACTTCTGAAAATGAGGTTTTCAGTTTAACCAAAAAATTAGGTTCTCTGTTTGACCAGTATGTATGTGTGGTTGTGTTATCTCGCGTTTAGCTGTATTGATTTTGATGGGGTTTTCGGAAAATAATTTTTAGTGTGTATATTAATAATATCAAATAAAAAGCATGAAATAAATAACTAATAAAAATAGAACCAACTTCATACTTAAAAAAAAAAAAAAATATCTCAAAAGCGACTTATTCAAGAAGATGTTGGGCTATTTAAGTCGGACGCCTATCATTAAATTAATAACCAACAGAAAACCTCCGCCCGACTTTAATAGCATTTACAATTATTTGACATGTGTTAGCGGTTGTTATTTTAATAATAATAATATTTACTGAATTTATAAATATAAGTTTAAAACTTACATACTCTGTGCTATAAATCGCTATACATAATCACAATAGCTCTAAATATACCTTAGAAACGGACTGCGATAGACGACAGCTAATTCAGGGCGTAATTTTGACACACCAATCAGGGCAACATTACGCGGTAAGTCTACTGGTAAATTCTCAGACGAACAATTATGTTAAACCTATTTTCAATAAATGATTCCATCAAATACAAAATTCGATATGCTAATGTTATTTAGTAACGCATACGATAAGATTTCATATTAATATTTAAAGCAATCTTCATTAATATTCATGTTTGCATAATCGACTTGTTGTCTAATGTCAATTATAGAAAGATTAATTTTACCTGTCCTATAAGAACATTGAACATAATGAGCGATGTAAAGCATTATTATTTACTGAAATATGTATTGTTAATGGACTTCAACAAAGGAGGTTGTAATTGACAACCTCCTTTTTTGACTGACCTTTTGGGCATATTTCGTTGTATTATTAATTTCGGATAAGCAGATTTTGATTAAAGATTGGGCTGATTTGAGGAAACGGAGCATTTTTCGCTGTTTTTGTTGGATCTTCTTATTCATCCATTAAAATTTCATTAGGTTCAGATTCGATAGTTAATTGAAAACTTATGCCCAAATCTGTCGCCTAAATATTTAGGAATTGCCTTAGGTAAAAATGCATTACACCATTAACTAGTAAACCACCTAACGAAATTAAGCAACGCCTAAAGTTATGATATTCGTTATGCAGCGCCTTGCTCTAGGCATTTGCATATATGACAGGTTATAAATATATCAAGGGATAAAAGAAATAATTATAAACTAATCTGCCTAGGCAATTCGTAAGATTAGTCGTTTCCTTGTTAAGCTATGCCTTGTTCTAGGTTAGTGAAAACGTTAATAAAATAGTATATTCGATACCGCGTTTTATTTTAAATTAAAATAATGCGATAATAAGAAAGTCGATTAAACAATGCCAGACCAACTTTAAATATATTTTCAAGGCTGGAAATGACAGCAATTATTTATTCTTTACACATGTATACTGCGTATCGCTCTATTCTTTTAAAATTTAGTTTATATAGAAAACATTTATTAATGTAACTACATAATAAAAAGATATGTTTATGCAGTTAGGATAATAATAATCCTTTTAATTTGTGTTTTTTTTTCACAGCACTATAATCTTCTTAAGTTTTAATTAAATGTTTTTATCGCTAGAATAAAACTTATTCACTAAGATCTTGCTTCAAATGTTGGTTGTTACTTAAGAAACTGCGCTGAACAATACACATAACATAGTAACAGTCGGTCATAATCGTATAGAAAGTGTTATACAAACATCCATTTTATGAGCGTGTGGTTAGGTTCAATGGACATTTGAACAGTTGAAATGTCATAAAATAACACATACTATTTTCGTTGACTTCAAAGTTCAGTTTCACAAAGTTAATATGTCATACGAGAAAGTGTTTATTGTTCGAGTTTCTTAAATTCATGGTATATTCCTGTCCAGTGAGTTATCGCGCCTTTATATTATAATAAAAAAAAACTGTATTTTAGACAAATAGATTAATGTGAAAATCAATTGATTGCATATGATAACTATCTTGCTTTTGGTTCTATACTATATTTGGAATGTGACAATACTTTTGTGAATTATGGCACAATGAGAGCAGTAAGTTTTGTCACTTCTGCCACCATTATCGTTATATTAAAAAAAGTAGACATTGTAACTATATTTCCGATTTCAACTTTAAAAAAATGTAGTTAAAATATTTATTATTTAACCAATCAACTCGAGTATTCAAAATAAAATATAACAATATTGGAAATTGGTTCTTTGCAGAATTCTCACTTAAAACTTTTCGTTGCCAGTTTAAGATAAATAAAATTTAACGACTTATCTTTTGCAGTCGAATATCGCGCCACTCTCCAGGAATTGACCTTAAAAACCGGTTAGTCGTTTTTAAGTGAAGACGTTATAAATAAGTAAAAAGTAAAGATACAAACATCCAAATCTGCAGACATTTATAATAATAGTAGGATTAGTAAGATATGTGGAGTTATTTATTTACTGTCATCTTTCTATCGTCCAGGGTTATCTGTTCGGTTGTCATTTGGCCCTGGCGTGGCAGGCGTTCCTGGATCTGGAAGCATTCACTGGTCCCGAGCCAGCCAGTTTCTCTTTAGTGGGGGCTCCACTTGCCTTCACACTACAAGAGAATCCGGATCTTTACACGTACATTGAGGCAGGTCGTCGTAGCGTGCACGACGTCGATTATCATGCGGTGAGTGTGAATATTTAATGGTAAAATACTGATGTACTGGAAAATATTCTTAATTAAAAATGCTTAAAAATCTCAGAGTACCAGAGACAAAATGCATTTTTCATTACGGATATATATCTACGAGTCGTTTCGCATTCGGGTGTGCATTTGTACCGCGCGGTGGTGGAGGGCGCGGGCATAGCGCGCACGGTGGCGCTATATAGAGTGATGATGACGTACGTGTGCAGTTGTACCGCGCGGTGGTGGAGGGCGCGGGCATAGCGCGCACGGTGGCGCTATATAGAGTGATGATGACGTACGTGTGCAGTTGTACCGCGCGGTGGTGGAGGGCGCGGGCATAGCGCGCACGGTGGCGCTATATAGAGTGATGATGACGTACGTGTGCAGTTGTACCGCGCGGTGGTGGAGGGCGCGGGCATAGCGCGCACGGTGGCGCTATATAGAGTGATGATGACGTACGTGTGCAGTTGTACCGCGCGGTGGTGGAGGGCGCGGGCATAGCGCGCACGGTGGCGCTATATAGAGTGATGATGACGTACGTGTGCAGTTGTACCGCGCGGTGGTGGAGGGCGCGGGCATAGCGCGCACGGTGGCGCTATATAGAGTGATGATGACGTACGTGTGCAGTTGTACCGCGCGGTGGTGGAGGGCGCGGGCATAGCGCGCACGGTGGCGCTATATAGAGTGATGATGACGTACGTGTGCAGTTGTACCGCGCGGTGGTGGAGGGCGCGGGCATAGCGCGCACGGTGGCGCTATATAGAGTGATGATGACGTATGTGTGCAGTTGTACCGCGCGGTGGTGGAGGGCGCGGGCATAGCGCGCACGGTGGCGCTATATAGAGTGATGATGACGTACGTGTGCAGTTGTACCGCGCGGTGGTGGAGGGCGCGGGCATAGCGCGCACGGTGGCGCTATATAGAGTGATGATGACGTACGTGTGCAGTTGTACCGCGCGGTGGTGGAGGGCGCGGGCATAGCGCGCACGGTGGCGCTATATAGAGTGATGATGACGTACGTGTGCAGTTGTACCGCGCGGTGGTGGAGGGCGCGGGCATAGCGCGCACGGTGGCGCTATATAGAGTGATGATGACGTACGTGTGCAGTTGTACCGCGCGGTGGTGGAGGGCGCGGGCATAGCGCGCACGGTGGCGCTATATAGAGTGATGATGACGTACGTGTGCAGTTGTACCGCACGGTGGTGGAGGGCGCGGGCATAGCGCGCACGGTGGCGCTATATAGAGTGATGATGACGTACGTGTGCAGTTGTACCGCGCGGTGGTGGAGGGCGCGGGCATAGCGCGCACGGTGGCGCTATATAGAGTGATGATGACGTACGTGTGCAGTTGTACCGCGCGGTGGTGGAGGGCGCGGGCATAGCGCGCACGGTGGCGCTATATAGAGTGATGATGACGTACGTGTGCAGTTGTACCGCGCGGTGGTGGAGGGCGCGGGCATAGCGCGCACGGTGGCGCTGCAGCGCGCGCACGAGGCGGCGGCGCGGCGGCTGCTGGAGCGGCTGCCGGACGGAGACGCGCGCGCGGCGCTACACAACATCATCGGCGCTATGCGACACGATTTATAATGCATCACCCTATAGCAAGGTTAGTGTCAGGATAACCTATACAGTCCTGGCCATGGTTCAGAAAGAGTACGAATATAGGTGACACTTACAGACATTCATGTCACAACTCTAGTAAAATTTTAATTATGAATTCTCCATATTCAGATTCAATAACCTGTGCCATGTTGTGATAATTTTCTTTTTAAATTTAATTTAACAAATAAGATATTGAGATTTTTTTGAGATTATGTACAGATCATGACTTATAAAAAATAAATATCTCAGTTTAAAGCATTTCAAACATTAAGAAGATAAGTGGATTAAATATTAAAATTCTATTTTCTCAGGTCTTGGTTCATCAATGGTGCAAGCTAATGTTGTTTACGGAAATAACGTGATATAAAAAAGTTATGAGATAGCAAACATCGCATGTATATATACATTTCATCACAATTTAGATCAAATTAGTTTCTTTCATTATCTTTAGTAAATATTTTATTTTCTTTAATCAAAACGAGACTGTTATAATCATAAAAGTGAAATGTACTTTTTTTCTTTAAGAATATACAGTACTTATACTAATTTTAAAATAAATGAAATTGAAAATATTACTTATATATGTATAGATAGACAATATAAAATTGAATTATTTTAATATAAAAATACACCGTTATAGTTATAAGTATATAACATAAAAAATTACTGTCTATTTTTATAAATCTCTATCTATATTTATAATATTACCGCAGAATGCCTTGAGGGGAAAACATTTTTGTCTATAATAATTTTATATACACACTATGTAGAGTGAGACAACATCACTTCTGATTTTAAAAACGTCGTTTTATTTTGACATAAAACATAATTTAAGACTGATAACGATTTCTTTTTATTAATACTCGGTTATAATATGCATATAATATTTTATATGTTAAAATTTGCGTTATATCATTTTTGATAAATGTATACATGTATGTAAATATTTTTGTACAAATATTATATCAACTTATTATGATTAATTTATGTTATAACCACATGAAGGTATTTTTATACTTGATAATAAATGAACCGTATGTTTTAACACATTTTTTTTTGTTTTATTGAAGAATATTCAACTTTGAGGCATGATTCAACAGAAAGTAAACAACAAAAGAAAAAAGAATAAAAAATAAATAAAAAAGATGTGTTTTTTTTTTGAGGTCGAGTGTGAGCCCATTGTTAATAAAAAAAAAACGAATTACTGGAAATCTCCAACAGCACTATAAATGATGGTGTTGGAGATTATCAATAATATGCAGATTGAATCTTACGACAGACGGTTGATAAGATTGCTTGCGATTATTTCACTACTTCGTTATTGCATGGTTTTGTTCATTAAGGAAGTCTTGTAATAAACAAATAAAACAGAATATTCTTTTTAAATTATTGTATTAATAAATAATGGTAGTTCTATTTACATGACACATTCGATTACTCTTTTGTTTTGGCAGAAGACAATTAAAAAATATTGTTACACAATAACATCGTCGCAACTTAAAGCAACGCAGTCGTATTATGACATACAAAACATTACATTGGTAATAATTCCCATCGCATGAAGACGATACAACATAAACCACATTATTTTTTGGTTACAATATGAACCCCTAGTGTAAGTTTTAAATTAAATGCACAATCACTTGTTTCCAAGGAGAAAAAGAAATCTTTAAGATACAGGCATTGCTCGATTATCGATATCGATAAAAAACAGTAAACGTTTTTAATTCGGAAAAATTACACTCGGGGATGCTATAATATAGTATTTGGTATCATGGCATTACGCTGCACTCTCACAACACACTGAAGATAGGCAAACATACAGTCACGCATACGTGAGTTTAAAGGTTATATCACAGGTTTCTAGTGTGACCTAAATGATACATTCTCTTATAGGTAAACACCTATTTTAATACATAATTCTACGAAACTTTACAATTTGGTGTCAACGTGTTGCCGATACGATTTGCCTGTTAATATTTGTTTCTTTTTTATTGTATGATTTTCAATTTATTTCCTTCACTGTGATTGCTTTTGATATGTTTTGTCCTACAATGCATTTATGAAGGGTTGCCATAGGCAACAGTTTAATGGCAAGAACACTAGGGCATTTTACCAATGATTTACACAAAAAAATAATGTTCGAATACAATTTTAGGCAAGTTTCGTTAAGAATTTCAAACGTCAAAACTTCCATAAGACCGACAAGAAATCGCACCATTCGTTAATTATATTTTTTTCATTCCTACATTATTAAAATGTACATAGACCCCACGTCTATTATTGCTTAGTTTTTATAAGTTTTGCTCTCAAAACTTTATTATACTTATAAATAATTTTTCACGTTCGTCCCAATAAATTTACCATTCAATAAATACGTACACGTAAAAAATATAAACTATATGAATAGTTTAATCTTTAAAACAAACTTTCTCTTACGCTAATTATATATTAATAACTATTTATCAGTATGTTTTCAATCATTTTCAATAATATGCCTACTTTATATCTTTTCAAGCGCCTGAAAAATTGTTTTTTCTTCGCACATATCCTATTCTTATATAAATGTATGTATTAATTATCTTTTTATTGTTTCTAATTTTATAAAAATTATCGTCGCTATGTGAATGATCGTAATACATTGATTTTTAAACAGTAAGGTCACATTTTTGGTTGAGTTTAAATCACCCAACAATAAACATTAGTATATAGCCAAAATGCAGGCACTCGAGTAAAGTAAAGAAGGCTTTGAAACATGCAAAAAACAACTGCAATAATTTAATGTCGAATCGTAAAGCAAATATATTAAATATTAACGTCTACCGTAACACTAAATTATTACAAAGAAAATGATTTCATAATGGTTCACGTAATACAATTTATATAAATAAGTTAAATATTCTAAAAAGTTAAAAATACACACGACTTAACCTAATAGAAAAGCACTCATGTCTTTGTTGAATAAAATACAAAAAGGCTACGACGCCGTTATTCGATTAACTTATTGAAATATGCCAAAACGATAAATGTAGACAAAGGCAAAGGAATGGTAATAATGATCATAAAATACAACTATATAAAATAAAACAATTAATACTAACACAGACAAAGGTACAAAAATATCGATAAACACGTCGTCGAATGTGTCCGCCTCTCTATCCCCACCCTTCGGTGTGACGTTTTGTACTTTTGTTCTGATCGGTTACATACATAGGGTTAGTAGTTTATGAGATCATCGAATCGCATAAATTTAAATATGCGCTTAATTAGAAAACATTGACAAAATATGTAGACGGAACGCCTTAAAGTCAGTTTATACAGCGGACAAAGTAAAATCATTAATCAAATCAACATCGGCCCGGTGATACTAAATACGACGCCGGCAAAAATTAAATTACGTCAAGAATATACAGACAAAGGTCCGCGACGAACGTCACTCGGACGACACGGATACTAACGTAAGACTAGGCGAGACGATTTAAACACTATAGAACTTAAAATTGACATCTTCGTTTTAAATCATACGATCATCAGAAATATATCGACACGCTCGAGGGACCCGCCTCGACTCTAGTGGAGACTGGGAAGTACAACAGTACAAGTTTCGACGTTCAACGGCTAGAAAGGCAACTGAGAATTTACATGGGCACGGTGGGTCGTGCGCGACGTCAGGTGGCGGACTCCTGGTAGGGTCCTGTGACGGTGCAGGGGTGCATCGGGAACAGCGTGGTCCAGGACGTGGTGGTGTGAGTCTCCGCTCGTACTAATATCTGACGTCCGCGTCGCGCCGCCTCCGTTGCTTGCACTAACGCACCCAGCGACTTGAATCCTCCGGGGATACCATCCTCTGACCCCTTCCATTTTTCACCATCCACTTTTCGACGGTCAGTAGCAGGAGTAGACGCGGCACTGGCATTCGGCGCGCCCGGCGTTGGAGGGTTTAGCCCCAATTTTTTCAACCTCATCTTCTCTTCCCACTCTTCCAACCCGTGCTTTGGTCTGTTCAAATTTCTATGTTGATAAAACACCAGGGAGATCCTCGTCGGGTTAGCTCTGTTTGGATTTTTCACGGCCGTCGTCGAATGCATCTCGTGTTTTGCGCATTCGAAGAGGACGCTTCCGTGGCCGAGTGCGATCGCTACTCCGCCCATTTGGCTGTCTTTGAAACACTCCGCGTTGTCCGTGAACTCTGTGACCTCGCCTATCGGTTCCGCCTTCGGAGGCTCCGGTGGATATGGGATCGAGAATGGCGGAGGATATAGACACCAGTTCGGAGAAGATTGGCACCAGTTCGGGCTTGGGTTTTGGTAGAAGTTTGGTGCGAAGTTGGGATTGTATTGGTATCCGTAGGAATTGTAGGAGTGGGGGTTTCTCAAAATTTCTTCTCTTTTATATTTCTCGGCGTTGTAATAAGCTAAGCTGTTGTAATCGTTGTAAGAATTTTCATACGGATTGAAGTGTCCGTAAGGGTTTGGTGAGAATGGATACGAGTTAGGCACCTGCGGGTAGTTGCCGTAACTTTGTACTGAAGTTTGGTTTCCGTATGGATTCTGGGCGACCGGATGAAAATTGTTTCCTGTGAATTCTGGTGTCGGTTTGTTGGCAGACGCGATCTGTTGGTCATGATTAATAGTGAAATTGTTTTGAGGAGGTCTCATCTGTGGTGCCGTATTGTTTGGTATTCTGTTGTCGTATGGACTCCTGTGTTCATAGCCTTGGCTCAAATGAGGTCTCTCGGAAGGCGGGTAAGGTTTTAAGAAGGTCGCGTTCTCCAAGCCTTCCGCGGGATTGCCGTGTTGGGATCGCGATGGTGGTCTGGCTTTTGGGACTCTAAACACATTATTTTCATTTTCAGATACCAATTGTTCCTTTGGTTTCGTAGAGTCCCAATTTTTAGACTCCGGAGATTTCCACACACTTTTCCGGCCTTCCGATGTGTTCATAGAATCGTTGTTAGGAGATTTTAATTCTGCTAATTGAGATGGAGCCGGTGACTCCGGTTTGGTTTGTGAATTTTGTGATATCTCTGTGAGTCTCGGCGAATTCGGCATATCGAATTCTGGAAGTTTGTTGGTGATTTCACTCTGAATCATGTTTTGCTTGTCGATTTCGGTAGAAATTTTTAATGGCATTTGTTCGGAATTCGGTTCGCTCCTGTTAGAATCTGGACTGTAATTAGGCGGAACGTTTAAATGAGCAGTGGTAGAATCGGGATCTTCTTTAACCACGTTATTGAACAAGTCAGCATTTGGAAAGTCGGGCCACTGGTTTTGGGGAGCGGCGTTTATTTGATCGGCATTAGGATCGCTGAATTGTTGATTTCGTTTCTGCAATCCGGCAGAAAAGCTAGGAAGCGGATTAGGGTTTGCATTCTGACAAGGATTTGCCTCTACTAATGTGGGCATATTATTTGGGTTGTAAAGAGTGTTTTGATGGTGTAGATTGTAGCTCTGGTCATAAGAATTATATGGAGAATCGAGGACGGTACTAGAGATTTGATTGCTCTGCAGCTGGGCGTCAGTGAAATTGTCTATCATGGTGGCCATATCTAGTAGAGCTGGGTTACTTAGGTTACTATTGATAAGGGTAGGGTTTTGATTATGCATATTCGGATTGACGAAAGCGGAATTGTAGTGGCCATTGTGCGCGAACGGAGATGGATTCGACTGGTTTAGAGGAGTTTGAGATCTCGGTGAGGCGCTGCTTTGACTTCTAGGACTGGCGTTGTTCCTGTTGTCGATCGGCTGGGGAGTTCTGGGCGTGGGCGTGGAACATTGTTGCGGTTTTTTCTGGTTTCCACCGGGGCTCTGTTGTGAATTATTGGTGGACGAATCTGTCGTGTCTTCTTCTTTCCGCTTTTTACCGTGGCGTCTGCACGGCTGCAAAGGCACCGAACGGACTCTGACTTCCATCGGAAACCTGAAATTGGTATACGATTTTATAAGTTAATTTCGTAAAAAATGGAAAAGATAGAATACACAAATAGATAATCCAGTAGATCCTTATAGTACCAAAAACTTGCTCTTATTCAGATGTATGTGAATTATCAAATTACAAAGTATATCGGCATATTGAAACAACAAGAGGAATGAACAAAATACATCACCACTCACTTATCGAGCACTTCGAGTGCACCGCTCTTGACCTTCTCATCTTGAGCGTCCCTTGAGCCGAATTCGTCGGTGGTGTCGAGCACGTACAGCGGCAGCACGTGCAGCTGCTCGTCGGCGGCTCGCGCGAGCGCGCGGTGCCTCGCGAGCGTCACCACCGCGGTGCACCCGTTGTTCATGTTGTGAAGATCACGATGCGCGTGCGCACAGAAGTCTATGCATGCTGTTACGCCTAATAACACAAAGTACATAATACTTATATAAAAACGAGCATTCATTGAAGCATATTATAATCATAATTTTACATTATAATTTAGTATGACTTCAGTTGGAGAGTGGTGGTATGGGACTGGGCAAATCTACATAATTATCCTAGCGTAGTCGAAAGTTCTATTAAGTAACACAAGCAAGATGTTAACAGATAGGTATAATACTAGTAATTGTTCATGCAATATACTAATAGAAATCATACTGATGTCTACTTTTCTTTGAATAAACTTTATTCACCAGAAAAAGGTCGTCCAGATTTGAATCCTAATCGACAATCCGATGCCTCTTTTTCGAACTGACACTGGTTCTCGAAGGATTTCGGTGCGAGATTCATGTAGAGCGGGCTGAGTAGTGTGGCGAGGACGTGCATTCTCTCTTCTATCTCGCTCTCCTCGGTCTTCACGGAGAGACGGAATTTGCGGACGGTTTTGGAGCGTGCATACTTGCAACCGTTGTAATACATTGACCAGGAACAACCGAAGCTGTATGATGCACCGCACGTCTCCGGATCTAGACCTGTAAATATTATCGTTCTGACATTATCAATGAAGTATATAACACCCTGCGAATTAATATGATTCAATTTAAATTAGAAGAAAATTTGTGTAGTACGTTAAATCATTAAAAAAAGTCACTCGAATCGCGTTCAAAATCGAATATGGAAATGTGACCTTTGCAGTAACTTGATATGCTTTTGAAAATAGTGCTTTGAGTTTTTTGTGAATTGAAATCATTTTCCTTATTTAACTCGAAACGGCAATAAATCGCGTCAATAAGGCAATGAATTGGGATTAAGAACTTTCATCTTTCACCACCTTTAAAAATAAAGTCAATTAATTTGGAATCGAGAAGGTTCATTCATAGGGACTGATAATCGGTTTCAAGATTGTGTCCGTAGAAAGGCCGAGTGGGATTTTCTTAACAAATTGTTGCAAAAGAAAATTACAAAAAAATTTTTTTTTGCCGTTTCGGTTAGTCAAGATTTATGGGGACGCGTGTGATAGACAGGTACCCTGGCAGGCGCAGGTGCGGTTCTCGTTGGTGGCGCAGCGGCGCGTGGTGGGCAGCCCGTAGCGCTGCAGCTTGTGCGCCAGCAGCGCGTAGTCCGCGTCCGCCTCCGCCGCGGGGATGCCCTCCCACGCCACCACGCACACCACCAGCCACGCGCACGCGCAGCGGTGCCCCGCGCGCGCCTTCACCACCACCAGCACCTTCTCCGTGTACGACGACCGACGGATCACCTGCACACATCACACATCACACCTCCTGCTCACGAGATCTACGGCAGATATTCAAAATTCGGGGACAGCGACGAGGTTTTTTGATATATCATGACAGTGTTCTACTTCAGAGTTTTTATGGATCTACTTTCTCAGAATAATCCAATCTTTAAATGATCATAATTTATTTTTTGACGATAAATATTTATAATGAAAGTAGCTCTTGTGATGTTTATGTATACCGACCAGATTGTTGACCTATAGCTTAAATATTCCTCTTTCCTTTCATTTAAAAATGTTATTTTAAATTTTTAAAAAACACCAGTTTCATTTAATTCAAGTCGTTATAATCCTCATTTCGAATTAACTAAACGTTGTGAATTAACTAATAATATCGTTTTCAAATTAAAATATATCATATTAAACGAAAAATATTGTATTAGTTATAATATATGTGCAATATTGTATGTTGGAATGAAAATGATAGTTAATATTTGCTTTAAAGTTGGGATCCATACACTCACCCACTTAGCTATCGGACAGCCTTGAGCGGATTTCCCTTCCTTGCCGGTGTAGCAAATCTTCTCTATTCTCAATTCCTTGCCCGAAAGACCGGTGCGTGCTTCTAAATCTTTTCTTAAATCTGCTAAAGTTGCTGCAGCTCCTAAAAATAGTCGAAAATATTATATATAGTTGTTAGAATATTTGTATTTAATTGTATTTATATGAGATTTAATTCATACCTAAATGTGTATAATAACTGCCGGGTTCTGGAGGGTTTTTATCAGCAGGAAAACAATTACAATCGGGTACTTCTGTTCTTGAATTGTTTCTTAACTTTTCTAAATTCTCTAAGTATTCTTTGGAATAGTTAAATTGGTTTTCTTTAGGAACTTTATTTGCATCAGGGGCTGGCGTGCTCGGTTTAGCTTGGCTCTTTGAGTCGCTCTTTTCGTTGACGTCTGGGTCGTCTTCAAGAATCTCGTCTTTGGTTTGAAGGCCAGGACAAGCACCATCTCGTAAATGTTCAGGTGGTGGCTTTTTCGTAGAACCTTGACGGCAGCAAGAGTATCCGACTTCATTTTTAATAGACATAGGTCCTCCATCTCCAGAGAATAAATAAGGCTCATTTCTAGGAGGTGCGTAACTCATGTTTTTGTAAATTTTATGTCCTGGTGGTGAATGTTCGGATTTAATTTGTTCGATGTAATAAGGCGGCTTTGGTTCTACTGGAGTGTTTCTACCCGATAACGTTCGATTTTCTGGCTCATTATTTATTTTGACTTCGTTAAAACTTCTAGAATACTTTTGGAATCCCATATTCTCTTGCAGTCGAGGTACTTGAGGATAAACTTCAGGTTCTTGTCTTTTTGCAAACGGATAATTTTGAAAGTTTTGGTAATTTGGTTTTTGCCCGAAGTTTTCTTGTTTAATTGAAGATATTGGTGGTAATACAGTATTTTGTTGAGATCTTGCCACAAATCCATTGGGATAATCTCTATAGGCACTATTATGTGGAAGATCATTTTCTTTTTGAAATTCATTGATTGCTACTTGGGTATTGGTTTTCATTAACCTTTCGTCCTGATGGTATTGATAATTATTATCAGGGATTTCTAACTTAGGAATCAGTGGCGCTGAAGGATGTCTATATTTTGCACCATACGTTTCTCTATCAAAAGCTCGTGTTTGTGCATTGATATCACGCGCCGGAGGACAAATTTGTTGATTCATTTCTGATACTGGACCAATGAGCATTTTGGATTGGAAATCTTTATTATCTTGTTGATTATAACTTAAATTATCAGTACCGTAATTCTCTGCATATTTTTGCGTTTCACATGAATCGTTTGTATACGTACCGAATTGGCCTCTCATTTCTGAGTAAGATGGTAATTTCTGAGGAGTTTTATATACATTCTTCGACATAGCGTGCTTATTATAACCTCTTGGGACCTCCGTCCCCCCCTCCCAAACTTGGTGGCCACCACCTCCGAATTCGCCCACGCCATAGGCTTGAGCGTTTTGTGCATAATTACCAGCGAGCGAATGTTGCTCACCTACGCGGTAATTATCTCGGAGATGGTGGCTATACGATAAAAAATGACCGGTGGTATTCCTGTCATCCCCAACGGAGACTCCACCCTTTCTGTCGTCTAACACCCGGGGCGGCCCTTCTCCAGGGTCACCTTTGTCAGGAGGTGTGTTGGTTCCATCTCGAGTGTGGTTTTGTTTATTTAATATCATTGTTTTCAGTCTCGAGTTCAAATTCACCCTGTCTGATTGTGAGAACATCTGTTGCTCAGAGTTCTCCTGGTTTTGTTGTTGTAATTGTTGATTTTGCATTTGCTGGTTTTGATGATTTTGTAATTGCTGCTGATTTTGCATTTGTTGTTGATTTTGTTGTATTTGTTGCTGTTGATTTTGCATTTGTTGTTGATTTTGTTGTATTTGTTGCTGTTGATTTTGTATCTGTTGTTGTTGTTGATTATGGATTTGTTGCTGATTTTGTATTTGTTGCTGTTGGTTTTGAATTTGTTGCTGCTGCTGATTTTGAAGTTGCTGTTGTTGATGATTTTGAATTTGTTGTTGCTGATTTTGCATTTGTTGTTGGTTTTGAATCTGTTGGTTCTGTAATCTTTGGTTATGTTGCCAATGACGTTGCTGCCAGTCATTTTGATTTTGCTGTTGGCCATTTTCGCGATATTGTCCGCTGTTATAGCCGCCCGAATACCCGCTACAATCTAGTGAAGCTCGCGGACCGTTGCTCCCCTGCAGGTATCCAGGCTCGGCGTTTCCCGAATGCTGACCACTGGGCGTAGTTTGCTCTTGTCTCTCTACTTCGTTATTTGAATCGGTTGTTCCATTCTCCCCGTTGCTGTAGTCGTCTGTGTGGTCTGGATTATATTCTGTGCGTTCATAATTTTGCTGACTAACCGTGTACACTGGGGCAGCTGAGGTCGCTACAGAGCTTTGATAAGAAGCGGCAGACGACGGCCTCGAATCACTGCCAGTAGTGACACCGGGAGTAGGGGCTTGTTGTGCGTATTGTTGTTGATACTCTGCAGTGTAATGTGGGGCTCTAGGAGATGGGACTGGAGTATAAGCTCCGCGGTTGGACGGCGGCCTTTGCGTCGGAACCGCTTGAACACCGGTCTGGTAGTAAGTGTTGTTGGTGACATCGAATGTTGTCGCGACATTTTGGACGGTGTACGTGGTGTTTCCTTGGTAGTGAGGCGACGTCGCGTATGCAGTATGATTTCCTTGATAGTCCAATGTCGTCTGACTGGTCTGTGTTGGAAGCTGCTGGATGAACTGGTTTTGCCAACCTATAACATACAAATTGTTTCCTGAGTCGTTTTTTAATTAATCCGTCTAGTTGAGAATTATTATATATTACATGTGTTTTTTTGGGTGTAAGTGGCTCACCTTGCGATGGATCTGTCTGCCATGCTGTCGGGAATCTATTCGGGTCTCCCGCGTAGAACGGCATGGGCGCCTGTAAAAGAAAAACCTTATTTTGTATATCCTCATTTCTTTTTTTTTAATCTGGGTCATAGTAATGAGCACCTGTCATAATATTCACATAACTGTGATCGAGGCCGAGGCTACGCGGGGGCCTTGGATATTGTTTGCTTTGTTATACCATCGTGTGAAACGACCTAATACGTTCTTGTGTTGACCGAGGTCAGCTAAATGTATTTAAATCTTGTAGCTTCCATGCTCCACTTTTGTTTTTGGTTATATAATCCTTTTAAGATTTAGGTATACTGACATCTTGGGACGTCAATCATCATTTTGAAATACAAAGCTCTGTAGATCTGTAGAAGTTGCAAGATCGATGTGAGGTAAGATTAACCACAATAAAAATTGCGAGACGCTTATGAAATACGGTTGATGACTACATTTTTTTGTTGTCTGTCCATCGGGTAGATTTTTGAAAAATATTAAACACGTCTTTTTTATTTGATTTTTTTTACCCCGCATCATCTCTATTCAATATCCAAAAAGGAATGTTTTGCATTATGTTTTCCAGTAGCATTAAAAGCAAACCTCGTTAATAATAGGGCAATTTTCGAGTTTAAATATACAAAGAGGGCAGGTAAGAAATTATTTTTTTAATATCCCCGTGGAGCTAAAGAATATTACTACATTATTAAAAGCCGTGCACGAAATGGGGGTGGATAAACATGTTGCTTGAACAAATTACATGTTAACATAACGTTACTGAACTTCGCAGGATTTTAATTTGAACGCGAATTCCTTCGAGTCGTTTAATAACGTGGTGTGTACGTGGCTCGTTGTTAAAACTTTGTTTGTCTTTTTAATGAGATTCCGTTGAGATTACAAGTATACAATATGGGTGTTTTCTTGTGTTTCTCAATTTAAAAGTATTTTCTTTAAACATGAACAATTTGTAATCAGTAAATAAATTTTAATAACGTGTTCGTTACAAATAAAAAAAAAACAGCAAAAATAGGGATGACAATAGGTGTGGAAGTTTGTATAGGGAATTAAAACGTTACCATAGTAACCATTGTTTATTATTCGATTTGTCATTATAATTATATCCGTGTCATGATTTGAATCGATATCCAAATAAACAGTTCGCAAAATTAAAATAGACTTTAAAATCTATTCGGGCACAGGCCTTCTCTATGAATGGAATCACATCAAATTAGGAGATTGGGCCACGCATTGCCCTCTACGTGGGTTCAGTGCGGAATGGTGGTTGTTAACAACTGCAGAATTGCAGATGCAGCCGGGGAACAACTTAACGGGCCTTTCGAGGCACGGAGGAGCTCGAGATAATAAATTAAAAATATAAATACATATCAAACAACATCACGTACATCGCTCAGATTACAAGATGAGTAGCTGAAGTCCTCGTATTGAGGAGTATCTAAGACTGTGATCCGAGACCATGAAGGTACTACAACACCCAGACCCAAGTAAATATAGAAAAGTGCATTTTGACCCGATCGGGAATCGAACTCGGAATCCCGACGAATCAGTCGGCTGTGTAGGTCGTAACCCATGAAAATTGCTTAACAAGTTATCGCAAACTTTACCATCGCCTCATATTTTTTCTACTTATATTTTATATAACACGTGTTAATACATTTATATAAGACATCTTAAAAAATATACATAAATCTGTTATATTATCTATTTCATATAACTCGTGGTAAAAAAAATGTGCACCAATTGCATACTTGCTTATAATATTATTTTCTAAACTATATGTCTACCTACCAGAAAAAAAATCATAAAAAATGTTACATTTCTGTTAAAAGTACATTTATCAACTATGGTGTACCTATTTGTTTAATTTTTGCAGCACTAATAGTTTGTTCCAAACTTTGGCTATATATTACAGGAACCAATAACCTGTAAACGCCGGGGTAGTAGTAATTCAACTCGGTCGACACGAACTCGATACTTGTTATTTATCGACTATAGTAACAATAGCAGTAGTTTGGTTCCTGTTATTAAACTTATTTTATACGTAAATTATGTATAGCGACACCAACATCACAGGAAGTGGTATATTAAAGCTTTATAATACCTTTTTTTAGATATAAAATTTTGCATTTACGACCTTAGATATTTTAGAAGCTATTTCAGGTACCATACTGAATTTGAACCTGCGATTCCTTTATTTGACGCATGGTCTTCCCACACATGAGCTTTATTGGCCGGGTTACACTAAATTGAAATGCCGTTAATTATTGCTATAATGTTTGATCTTCAGTAGATCGAGGACGACGACAAATTTCTCAAGTATTTGTTAGTATGCTAGTTTGTTCGTATTGCCATCAATGTTTATGTAAATATTAATATTTCTTATGCCAATAATCATGTCGCGTGTAAAGAGGTACCTTATCTTTTACAAAATAATCAACGGTATTTTTCCTTAGTGTAAACTCAGTCATCATAACATTTATATAAATAACCTGTCTAACTAATTTTGAGACTTAAAATCAATCGAATAAAGACTTTTTAGTGTTCACGATCTGGTCAAAAACTGTAAAGCAATTGTTTAGTTTGGATAGTCGGATCTCGAAAAAGGTTTACCTAAAACGACAACGCGAAAGTTACAGATTTACGCCCGGTTTCTGTGTTGAGTTGAGTAAATTTACATTAAAGTGACAGATTAGAAAATATTTAACAAAACTCACAGTGAGTTTTGCTACTAAAATAAAGGGAATATAAATATTAAATTAATGAGCTTTTATTTGGAAAATAAGAAGACGGAGATTATAAACAACTTCTTTGAATATATTTCGTTTTCGATTGTATGAAAATTCAATTTAATGAATTATCTTTACTCAAGAAAAGTTGTTTCATTTATAGCTTTAAATTATTATTTAAATTATATTTAGTATTGTTTTCATTAAATAATAAAAAGAAAAAGGTAACTCCCGGCCTCATACAATGTCATGGCAATGACGCCACAAAAATTCTTTCTTCAAAATTTTGAATTAAGAAATCTGATTTCGATTCCTGGATAAAATTTATTCAAACGAATTTACGGCAACGAGGTTGTTATGAAAGTTATTTGATTAGCTAATTTACTTTTAAATTTTCCACGAAATCCCTTATATATTATGAAGTTTATTATTACTTTAATTCAATGTATTTCACACGAATAATTTCAATAATGAAGTTTGAGCGTCAGAATTTCGTTCGTCGTGCGAGCGAAGTCGTTAAAAATGCAATAAATCTTATACGTAACATAATTAAGCTTAATTTCCAAAGTTTGTGTTGCCTATAGCTTCATTTGACTATGTATGACGTCTTGTTACACACTCAAAGTAATTAATGGCGCTTTAATACGTTTTTAAGTAGCGTGTTACAGCGATGTAGTTAGCAAACCATCATCGTGCTTTCATTATTCGATATGATAGTGGGTATTTCGGGGCGGTTATGAGTCGTTAGTGTAATTATAATAATAACTAACTTATATTTGTCTTCAATTGAATTATCTCATTGATGGGTTACTCAGCATTGTTTCGACAATACTTATCTCGTCATGGTTTAAGCCTTGATGTTTGGCTTTGCTCTATAACTACTAATTTGGTACTCAGAGGTGTTTTTTTCATTCTCAATGCAGCAATATTTGTCTTGCAGAAAAACGTTTAAAAATTAACTTCTATTTCGAAAAAGTTTCCTTTCCGCCAATCAAGCAACTTCCATAGGTTCGATTTATTTATTTTAAATTACTTCAAAATCGAAAATTCTACGAAAGCTGTAGGCAGATTTTCAAAATTCTTTCTTTCAAAAGTGGTCCTATTGTCGACATAGTTATAGGTTCATAGAAAAAATAAGATTGCGTATTTTGCTTTAACTTACTAGATTGCACTAGATGAAATGGACCATTGATCAGATTGAAAAAAATATCTTACCATTGGTTGGCTGGGATGGTCTTGCTTCATGGCAGGTGTGGTTGCTGGAGCGGGACTGGGTGCTGCGGGGGCGTGGGGCGCGGGACTCGAGGAGGCGGCGGGCACGGCTGGACTCACGCCGGGCAGGCCGGGACTCACGCCGGGCACGCCGGCTGTACCGCCGAGGGGTTTGCGGCCGCGGTAACTCTATAAACAATAAATAGGACTTATGATCTCGTGTCTTGAGAATTTATTTTAGAACAAGGAACTGTGCTTGATTAGGTTTAGGTTTCATACCTAAAAGGTTAACAATGCAGGACCCTATTACTAAGACTTCGATGTCCTGGGGTAGGTGTGAAAACGAAAATTGAAAAGAATCGGGGAGTCGGCCTCTTGCACGAAGGTGTCTGTCCGTACCGTTGTTTACGGGAAACGCGAAAAATCAGGTTGTATGGGAGCCGCCCGTAAATATCTATTATATTCTGTTTTTTCACTTGTCTAACTATCAAGGTTCATGTGATATAGTCTGATGACAGACAGATGGGCAGACAAAAAGATGAACACAGGAATCTTAGTAATATAGGGCCGTTTTACCCTCTGGTTCCGGTTAAAAACTCAGAGCGCTAATTCGAAATCCGTATCTTGTCTTTAGTTCAAGGTAGAGTATAATATACTGGAATTGCTTTCTACCTCTTCCTTGTACCATCATTACAGATAGTGATTTGCAATGGGAAAATAATACAAAATTACAGTTGTTTCCAGTATAAGTACCTATAGTTAGTGCCGTAACGAAATAAGTAATAATCAGTAATGCAGATCTTTAGAGTAATCTAATTATCTATGAACTTATGTAAAGAAACTATGAATATAAATAAAAAAAAATGAATTATTGTATAGACAACAGCATATTATACAAATCTGTTAAATTTCTCCACTTGATTTTAAAGCTTAATGCACTGAGGTTAGAATTCAAAATAAACTTAGGTTTTGTGGACACTAATATAATGTTACGTTAATTGCCAAACAATAAATCGAATCATTAGGTATATGAGACTATAACATTAATAAAGGCAAAGGCATCCGCGTATGCGAAATGGAGAGGCATTATAATGAAGTAATTTAAAACTTGGAATATTCTATTTACATTAATTAACGAAATTACACGTAGATGGAATGTGCAGAATATATTTAACTACATAATATAATATATATAAATGACTATGAATATAAATATATCAGAATAAAACGACTGTTCTAATTTCAAAAGGTTCTGGAATTGAAATTTTATACTTTTATAAAGAGGAATAAATGAAATTCGAGTTATTATTATAAATATCATGTTAAAGTAACACTCTTTGTTGTTCGTTGTTCCGTGAGATTGATGTATCGTCACGGCTCGGTGAATTTTGTGAATACTATTTTTAACTCGCACAAATTGATGTTTTAGTGGCATAGAATAGGTGCTATTGGTTATTATTTTGTGTGAAGCAAGGCGAGTTGTTCAATGTATAAAAAAATATAACTAATAAATGTAATGGAGTTATAGTAAATGGGAACTAAATAAGTATATTATCCCCAAAAGCGAACAAAACTTTTTAGAAGCCAATAGTTGAAATTGATGTCCATTATTTCATTCAGTGTCAGCATTCTGATTCGAAATTGCAGCTACTCTTAAAAAAAAAACTATTACAGAACTACTTTTTGTATTCTTTTCGTTTCGGAGTAAACCTGCGACAGAGACGGTCGGACAGACAAACAGGCACATGAGTGATCCCATTAGGAATCCTTACGAGGTAACAGAATCCTAAAACATTATTATTAGTATATACTTATATTATTATTATCCTTTATCGAGTGGAACCCTCACGTGACTGCATTTGTAGTTTTACCTTGAACCATACCAATCTTTAGTGAACGGTCTTCAAACTATGATTAAGGTAACAGAAATTCAAAAAAAAAAATTTTCATCCGATAACACAAAAAGATAGATAATATTTTATAATTCAATATGGCTGCCGTACTTTCGCATGGTTACTTTACAATGAACCTCTCATATGATATTAATTTCATCAGCAGATGCCAAAGTGAATTTTATATAATTGTAAATAATATTTTCAAACCTATTCGGGCGTGTAAGGTAGGCTTTTGTATATTACGTTACTTAAAACGGCATATCAAATGTATAAATTTATGCTTAAAAATAAGTTATTTCGAAATTAACGCCGAGAAGAAAATATAATGTAAGATTTAGTTTTTTATCTTTTTATTAGATAAATGAGCGTCTATTCGTCAGTTGCACAAACATCCATTAGGGTTTAATGACGCCTCATTTTGTATGGGTAATGTTGCTTTAAATTAATGACTATTTTAATAGACGTTGGTGCAACTGGAACTGTGTCTATGTTGTTAATGTCTGATTTAGTAACTGTGATGATTAAGATGTGATTTTCTTGACAAAAGTTGTCTTGAATAAAGAACATACTTATTTTTCCCTTTTACATCCAAGCCAAAAATATTACTAATAATATATAGTTTGTCTTTATTTAAATAAATAAATATTGCGTTTTGTTTGTAAAGATGCTCCCTTTTTTATCATCTGATATAACTTGACCGAATATAAAACAAAATGCATCTAAATAATATAGTCCATGCTCTGGTTTCAAAAGTGTAAACACAAAGAGCCATGCATTAGCCCATGAACAAAACGGCTTTGTCAACAAGTTGGCCGGTCTCGTACAACTTGCAGCACCATTCTGATTGTCTTACCCCATTCGTTACGACCTGAAACTCATTACTTAGACTGAATAGTTGCTGTTGTTTGCATAATGTGATCATTGTACTACTAATTTCTTGGTTTAATCTGTTTGCGGTCTCCTTTATTTTTAATATTCAAATAAAAATTATGTCAATTATTTTAGATCTACTTAGAAATACTTATTTTTACCGAGACAAATGTTTTTGTAACTTTTTCATAAGATCATTTTGAGTATTTGAGTATGCAGGTATTGGTAATGCGTTAAAAACAATGATGTTTTAATCAGGATACGACATAACTCTGCGTTACCTGGGCTAAGAACAAAATCCTCAGCCTTTGATGTCCCCAGTGCAGAGGCTCAGGCCTGCTTTTTGGATCTGCTGTATGCCATCCGCATTTTTTACTAGCTTTCGGGCGCGGATAGAGTCCCACACTCCTGCCGCTTGTCAAGCAGCAGGGATAATGCATATAGCATTCCCCTACGTAAAAAAAAACCGTTTTATATTGTATTCCCGGCTCAGGAGGAATGGCCATAAATCTTCAGGCTGGCCCAATGCAGATGGATGAGTCTTAACGTCTGTAAAAGCAGCCTAATGTGCCATACGATGCACGGAGTATCTCGAGATAATCGTTTATTGGTCACCCATCTTATGACCGACCCTTGTGAAAGTTGTTAAACAACAACGATCGTGGGCCTCGGTGATTATCTTTTCCACTACGTTACTGAGCTATTAATAACAAAATAATAATAGAGAATACAGATAACGTTTTTTCTGTCCGGGTTTATAATTTAAATCGATATCTTGTATTGATATTTCTGCCTTCTGTACATTTTGTAGAATATAAAAAAAACTCTTAATATTTAAGTAATAGTTTATTCATGTTTTTGGGTAAAGGCAAGATGACTTACATAGAAAAGATAAAAAGAAGTTTCTGAAAAAACAGGAATTTTGTTAGGGATTGCAATGGCTTTTTTTCCATAGAATTTTGCACAAAAACTTCTGATTTAGACACGGCAGTTTTTGTTGAATCGGCTATTTTAGAATAAGTCAACAAATCGTGCAGGTGATTTTTAGGGGATGTTTGAGGGAAATTCGAGAGCGATTGATTATGTATAAATCCAAATAAATTACATATTTTGAGTGATAAGCTAATAAATTAATAATTAATTCCTAAAGTGGACAGCTGACGATACAAGTTTGAGGATCTCTAACAATGCGGCGTTACAATGCAACATTAAATAGATACGACGCGTAATTCGTAGTAGTGTTTGATTACAATATAATAACTATATGATGCGTTCAAAGCACACCTAAAAATATTTGACTTACCCAAAGCTTCTGTGATTAAACTTAGCTCAATCGATAGATTTAGTTTTCGTCATTATATAGAATATCAACACTACAATGTGAAATGTGTTAATTTCAACGTTTAGTTAAAATTTAATGTTTTTTTGTTTACCTACTTAAATATAACTCTCGACACACACGTAAAACTACATTAGATATAGATGGAGGAGTCTCGCAAAAGTCGCAAAAAGCTATTATATTCGTCTAACTACCAGACGATGCATAACCACAGCCACTATGCCAGGAGTATACGAATGAGAAGAAGACTCAAAAATACAATCAAATCAAATAGGTTTTTATACTGATATTTTCTGTTTATATAGTTTTTGGAAGTGACTGCAGCAATTGTCCTGCACGCGTACATGACGAACTCGAGAATGTTTTGTCTACACTCAAATGTCGCTTTTCTCGGGTGCGTCCATACTATATCTCACGCTCGACCCGAGAAACTGACAAATGAGTGTAGACAAAGCGTTTCTCAAGTTTGTCATGCTACACGTGCTGTCACGACAAACGCATCGTGTGTCTACGGCCTAAGTCATATTTCGGAGAAGCATCTTTCAGTACCTGTTCTATGTTATTGTAACTATCGCTGTGGCAACGCATTCCAAGGCCACACTATACCTTTGATCTTTCTGGCGTTCAATCAAAACCCGTAAATCCACTATTCCAAGGGAATTAATCTCGCCGCATATTTGCGTATAAAACCGGGCTGTTCGTTTCGTACGTATGATTTATGTAGCATCATTTCATTAATACTATTGTTTTTATGTTCCTATGAAACGTAACTGGAGCCGATTCCGTACTAAAACAGTTAAATGCCAGTTATAATAAATTCAAGGATTATTTAGCAAACAAAACGTTTGGAACGTTTAAATGTGCGAATAGGTATGACGTATGAAATGGGGCCAGTATGGTAACCTTGCAGTACGTCTTTTCAAATAGATCTTGTTGCATTTAAGCCATTGTAATTAACTATTTTAATCGAATAAATATTTACTTATACACGTATTGATATCAATTTATTCAGCATTCTAAAAGGAAATGTAATAATAATTAATTTGCTTTTAAATGAGGTACAATGTAGATTGAAATGCAATTTTAATTCAGCCCATTTAGCCATCAGCAATAGCATGCAAATATTGACGATACAATTACAAAGTCATATATCCAATATCAAAATTATTAAATAACAAATATAGATATCATTGATACGCAAAACTATTATTGAATTAAATATTAAAATGTCATTCATTAATAATAGAAAAGTATACTATATCCCTACAGTGGATAAGCAAGATAAGCAGAGCAAACTTACGCTTAAATTATAATTTTAGTATTAGTATTTATTCATATTATACAGAAAATAAACAAACCTACTACCTTCTAGGAGTAGATATTACTCCGTAAAACCTCGCACTAGGTTAACCTTTGCCGAGTCTCTGTTTAATAATATGAATTTTGACTAAGTGCAGTCCCAGCGTAAATTTACTTCAACGTTAAACCTTGTTTTTTAATAACACTGTTACAGTTCGAGTCTGGCTAAGTAATCTCAGAGGGAGCTCGGTAAGCCGTGACGACCCCGTTAGATAGCGTTATCAAAATAGAGGACACGCCATAGTCACACCAATTAATCATAGCCTGGCCATCAACATTCAGGGTGAAGGGACGCGAGATTTTAAGAAAATTGATTATAAGACTAGTTTCTTACGAAATAAAAAATTAAACCTGGAATCGAAGCTACACCTTCGTGTTGTGATGTAAGACTGCGTACTAACCACTATTATTGTTACGAAGGTCGTTTAAAATAATTTATATTACATAAATCTATTTCTTGCGGCGTAAAGAGGCACCATGCAGGCGAGCAGGCCGCATGTTTCGTTATACATAATACATTATTAATAGAAATTTGACTATAAAGTAGGTTACATAATATATTTGTTTAATTTTTCAATGTCGTAGAAAAAGGTACATACTAGCAATTAGCAACACTAATAGAAAAAAATATGAAATAGAACATGGGATCGCTTGCGGTTTTACCACGACAAAGGAGCACTCATTTCCAAGGTTTCCGATAAGGAAAAACTGAAAAATATATCAAAGGAGTCCTGACTCAATAATTCAGGAAAACGGTTCTCGTATAATAAAATTTAGACATTCATAAGAGTTTTAAATGAATAGGTAAATTATAGTATATTTTTCAAGTGCTGATTATAAATTAAATAAGAAGAAATTTAGAATACGTAAAAGTAATTTGTCTGAGACTACAACAAAAATGTCTATAGAAGTGAATTAATTTGTAAGTGAAGATATTGTCACATTTGTCTATCTGAATCCTATTATAAATAGATTTACGTGTGATTTTCTTAGTGATATCAATATTATGTACCTATTTATTTAAAACGACGGACTGAATTTTGTGTAATTTGCTGTAGTATGACGATTGTTGAAGATTTAAGAAATCATTGAAAAAAAATATACAATAAAAAGAAACAAAGCACACAAATGGCATCATTATTGCTAAGCAGCAATCTCTTCCAGCCTTCTAAATACATATATGTGATGTTGCATAATATTCTATCCTTAATGGCCCGTGCATCAGCAGTAGAGATAATAATAGGGTGATGATGATAAGAGTCAGTTCGCGTCGCTAGTAAGTAACCTATCTAAATTTAATTAACTTTCATGCAGTAAGGTAAAGTCCACAGTCATGGACAGTATAAGCAATTATTTTTTGATTTTGATTTGTAATTTGTTCATGTTTCAATACACATTCTTTTGGATTTCAAGGTATATGAAAAGTCCAACATAGGTGACATTTACCTTAATACATTTTTTTCTATATTGGTGAGAATATCTTCGAATAGCAAAATACTACAACAACCATCCGTAATCTTACAAAAATAGAACGATGTAATGGTTTACCTTCTTTTGCGACACTGAAATCCAACTGTAATAAATCAACGGAGAAATAAAAACAAGCCATTTGACAATTCACGTAATAGAGCTCATTCAGGCTTATGAAATTGTAGCGGCCGAGCTTTTGTAAGGTTTCCTCCGGACGAGGACTAATTTCCGTTGCGCTAGAAACCGAATTGATGATTATATCGGACAAGATTACGTTGTTTTTACCGCGAAAAAATAAACAAAATATGTACAGCTAACAAAGTCTCGGAGTTATACAATTTCCGTTGTTTAACAATGTGTTTTTCCTTACCTAACTGTTAATCGTAACACATGTTAAGATTTCTGCCAACATCGTAAAAGATATGAGTAAAGTTTTTTTTTTACAAATAGTTAATACTATTTTTGAGGAATCACCACCGTATATGGATGAAAACCGCATTTAAATACTTGTGTAGTTCTAAAGTTCTCAGCGTACAGATAATGGGAAGCAACCTTGTATAGACAATGATATTTCAAAAGATACCAAAAAGTGCTGAAGTAAGTTATATTATAATGAAACTTCTTTCCAAACAAAAAGGAATGTAAACAGATGCAACAAGAAGTCCCTAAAACTGCCTTATTAAGTTCACATTGTACTCGACGACAATGTCGTGCAATGTAGTACAAGCCGCAGATGTTAATAGCTCTCCACAAGTCACAACACGTGTTGGACCACGTTGGGCGGCGGCTATTCTCATAACAGACTGTCTCTGTCATGAGAGGTAGCGGGTCTAGGAGTTACTTCTATCACTTTACTTAAAGAACGATTTGGGTAACTTGTCTGA